CTCAGAGATGGGACACAGGAACAAGGGGACACAACTAGAAGCTGAAAACTCAGATGAGTCCCAGGGATGTTAGGAAGTATTTCTTCAGCACTACAGTTGTCAGGAGATGGAACAATCTGGATAGTGATGTAGTGGAACAGGATCCATACACAACTTTAAGGAAAGGCATGACAAGTCTCATATAGCAAGGAGAGTGGACCTAATAGCAACCAGCAAAGTGGGGCCAGGAGCAACCACATATACACGAGCACATGCCCACATTTATGCACATGCACGCATATTTTCCCTGAGGATACATTAATGATAATATCTCCTGTCAATAAAAGCTCGTCTTTCAGGGTGTTTCTGTTTTCTTCCAAGACTCTCACCATGACCTTTGCAGTATTCATATTTGTGTAACTTTTCACCTTGCCTCTGATATTTATTTATTTATTTTTATTTGGACATGATACATAGTTGTACAAAGAAATAGTGATTAGGTGTACATGCCAAAAGCCCCTTGTAAGCAGAGCATTATGGGCAGGCTTAAAATTAACAAGGGTGCATTTGCAGTAGTGTTTCAACTGAAATGTGTACCTCTTCAGTACAGGAAAGACTGTGCTATAACTTAAATTGCCAGGCACACCATCTAAAGGGGACAAAAAGATACAAAACATCCAGGCCATGGGAAAACCTGGGTAGCCACAGCCACTCAAGAGGGAGAGGTTTTTTAGTGCCAGGAAGGAAATGGCAGAAATCGTACACCAAATCCAGTCATTCCTGGAGTGGAACCACAGTCGATGGCCTCCACTCCAAACCAACAGATACAGATACTAATGCCGGAAAAAAAATCCCCCCCCAGTACCAACAATACCACCAGTCTCATGACATTCTTCTTTGCAAATATACAGGGTCTAAAGCCAGCAACAAACAACAAAATACCTTTCATCCGTGGACTGCTTGCAGAGGCAAAGGCAATGTTCGCGGCTTTCACTGAGACCCACATAAAGGATCACTTGGACAACGAAATATGGATCCCAGGTTACAACCTATACAGATGTGACAGAGTGAACAGGCAAAAGGGGGGGGGGGTTGGCCTGTACATTTCAGAGTCACTTGTTTGCACAGAACTGCTTAATGCCTCAAATGATGTAGTGGAAGTTTTAGCAGTAAAGAGCGAGAACCAAAACCTAGTCATTGTGGTAGTCTACAAGCCTCCGGATGCAACATCCCAGCAATTCCAGGAACAGCTGTTAAAATTTGACCACTGTCTGGAAAATCTTCCAGCTCCTGCGCCCAACATCTTGCTCCTGGGGAATTTCAACTTAAGGCACCTAAAATGGAGGAATATAGCAAATAATATTGTTGCAGTAATAACACCAGGAGGCAGCTCTGATAAAAACTCACACTCACACGAGCTTTTAAATCTCTACACAAAATTCAATTTAAACAAGCAAATAATAGAGCCTACTAGACTGGAGAATACACTAGACCTCATCTTCACTAACAATGATGATCTGATAAGAAATGTCACCATATCAAAAACAATATACTCAGATCACAACATAATTGAGGTTCAGACATGTATGCACGGAGCCCCAGACCGACATAATGAGATTAGTCACGAGGGAGCATTCACCAAATTCAACTTCAATAACAAAAACATAAAGTGGGACCAAGTAAACCAAGTCCTAACCGATATAAGCTGGGAAGATATACTAAGCAACACAGACCCCAACTTATGCCTAGAACAGATTAGCTTGGTGGCACTCGATGTATGCACAAGGCTCATTCCTCTAAGAAAAAGGAGGAGTAGATGTAAAATAGAAAGAGACAGGCGCTCCCTTTACAGGCGACGGGAAAGAATAACAGAGCGGCTAAAAGAGGTCAATATATCTGAAATGCGTAGGGAGAAACTGGTCAGAGAAATAGCAAGCATCAAACTTAAGCTAAAGGAATCTTATAGGAGTCAGGAATCACGGGAAGAACTAAAAGCCATAAATGAAATCGAAAGAAACCCAAAGTATTTCTTCTCCTATGCCAAATCAAAGTCGAGAACAACGTCCAGTATTGGGCTCCTACTTAAACAAGATGGGTCCTACACAGATGACAGCAAGGAAATGAGTGAGCTACTCAAGTCCCAATATGACTCAGTTTTTATCAAGCCGCTAACCAGACTGAGAGTCGAAGATCAAAATTAATTTTTTATGAGAGAGCCACAGAACTTGGTTAACACAAGCCTATCTGATGTTATCCTGACACCAAATGACTTCGAACAGGCGATAAATGACATGCCCATGCACTTTGCCCCAGGGCCAGACTCATGGAACTCCGTGTTCATCAAGAACTGCAAGAAGCCCCTATCACGAGCCTTTACCATCCTATGGAGAGAGAGCATGGACACGGGGGTCGTCCCACAGTTACTAAAAACAACAGACATAGCCCCACTCCACAAAGGGGGCAGTAAAGCAACAGCAAAGAACTACAGACCGATAGCACTAACATCCCATATCATAAAAATCTTTGAAAGGGTCCTAAGAAGCAAGATCATCACCCATCTAGAAACCCATCAGTTACACAACCCAGGGCAACATGGGTTTAGAACAGGTCGCTCCTGTCTGTCTCAACTATTGGATCACTACGACAAGGTCCTAGATGCACTAGAAGACAAAAAGAATGCAGATGTAATATATACAGACTTTGCAAAAGCCTTCGACAAGTGTGACCATGGCGTAATAGCGCACAAAATGCATGCTAAAGGAATAACAGGAAAAGTCGGTCGATGGGTCTATAATTTCCTCACTAACAGAACACAGAGAGTAGTAGTCAACAGAGTAAAGTCCAAGGCAGCTACGGTGAAAAGCTCTGTTCCACAAGGCACAGTATTCACTCCCATCTTGTTCCTCATCTTCATATCTGACATAGACAAGGATGTCAGCCACAGCACCGTGTCTTCCTTTGCAGATGACACCCGAATCTGCATGACAGTGTCTTCCATTGCAGACACTGCAAGGCTCCAGGCGGACATCAACCAAATCTTTCAGTGGGCTGCAGAAAACAATATGAAGTTCAACGACGAGAAATTTCAATTACTCAGATATGGTAAACACAAGGAAATTAAATCTTCATCAGAGTACAAAACAAATTCTGGCCACAAAATAGAGCGAAACACCAACGTCAAAGACCTGGGAGTGATCATGTCGGAGGATCTCACCTTCAAGGACCATAACATTGTATCAATCGCATCTGCTAGAAAAATGACAGGATGGATAATGAGAACCTTCAAAACTAGGGATGCCAAGCCCATGATGACACTCTTCAGGTCACTTGTTCTATCTAGGCTGGAATATTGCTGCACACTAACAGCACCTTTCAAGGCAGGTGAAATTGCTGACCTAGAAAATGTACAGAGAACCTTCACGGCGCGCATAACGGAGATAAAACACCTCAATTACTGGGAGCGCTTGAGGTTCCTAAACCTGTATTCCCTGGAATGCAGGAGGGAGAGATACATGATTATATACACCTGGAAAATCCTAGAGGGACTAGTACCGAACTTGCACACGAAAATCACTCACTACGAAAGCAAAAGACTTGGCAGACGATGCAACATCCCCCCAATGAAAAGCAGGGGTGTCACTAGCACGTTAAGAGACCATACAATAAGTGTCAGGGGCCTGAGACTGTTCAACTGCCTCCCAGCATACATAAGGGGGATTACCAACAGACCCCTGGCAGTCTTCAAGCTGGCACTGGACAAGCACCTAAAGTCGGTTCCCGACCAGCCGGGCTGTGGCTTGTACGTTGGTTTGCATGCAGCCAGCAGTAACAGCCTGGTTAATCAGGCTCTGATCCACCAGGAGACCGGGCCGCGGGAGCGTTGAACCCCGGAACTCTCTCCAGGTAAACCAATTCATGGGGAAGCACTAAACTTGTAGGAGTCACACAAAACCTGTGGAATACCTGGAGAGGGTTTCAAGGGTCAACACCCCCACAGCCCGGTCTCTGACCAGGCCTCATGGTGGATCAGGCCCTAATCAACCAGGCTGTTACTGTTGGCTGCATGCAACCCGACATACGAACCACAGCTTGGCTGGTCAGGTACTGACTTTAGGTGCCTGTCCAGCACCTTCTTGAAGAAAATCAGGGGTCTATTGGTAATCACCCTTATGTATACTGGAAGGCAGTTGAACAGCCTTGGGCCCCTGACTCTTATTGTTGTCTCTCATCGTGCTAGTGGCACCCCTGCTTTTTATTGGAGGGATGTTGCATTGTCTGTTGAGTCTTATGCTTTCATAGGGAGTGATTTTTGTGTGCACGTTTGGTACTAAACCCTGTAGGATTCTCCAAGTGTATATAATCATGTATCTCTCCTGCCTGTGCTCTGGGGAGCACAGGTTGAGGAACTTCAAGTGTTCCCAGTAATTGAGGTGTTTTATCGAAGTTAAGTGTACCATGAAGGCTCTCATCACATTTTCTTGTTCAGCAATGTCACCTGCCTTGAAAGCTGCTGTGAAATTACTGACCTAGAAAATGTACAGAGAACCTTCACAGCACACAAAACCGGGAGGCAATCTAGAATTATTTAGTTGTTCTGAGTTTTAAACATACAGTACAGTTGTTAAAATGATCAGTTCTCTGCTATCATTATCCACTTGCTGTAATATGAGACCAACTAAGTCACCGTTGTATTACAGAAATCACAATCAAAAAGCAAGTAAAACTATTCCTCTCGAGAGATTCCTTGAAGCTGATTATTATTGTCATATTCAAGGAAAAGCGCTAAACCCTTAATGCTGGTTAGGGCCCCTTGATGCACAGAATTGGGCTTATCCTCTCGTTGGGTCACCTTGACGCAGTGGGAGATGGCTGATGTGTATAAAGTTATAAAGAAATACTATGAAGTCAAATTTTGCAAATAGTTTATAGTACAGTATATGCATACACTGAGAAATGGATATGTGCAAACAGTAAAGATTCCATTGTAATATAGTACCTGGAAGTAAATGAAAGGCCTTAAACACATAATTTGACTCTTTTATTAATAAACATATTAAAAACGTGGAAACATTTTGTAGAACAGTTCACTGTGCATAGAAATTCTTATATGGTAACTTAACATTTGTAGAGAAAGCCTAATGATAATTGATGTTTTTATAGCACACATATTTACATATTTTGCTTGTTCATTATGTAGATTATAAATTACAGTTTTTGTTCTAATTAAATTATTATAATCAGTTATATAAACAGAAAACAATACCATGGCACAGTAAGAGTATTTCTCCCAAGTTAATTCAACATTTATCCATATTTATCAAATCACAAGTGTATCATGTGTTACATTAATTAATGCCAGGGTACATGGGCTGGATGTGCTGTGGGTGCCAACTTGAAGTATCTTGCTGTGTGTTGCCCTATGGCCATTGTTCCTGACTGTTGAGACGGTCCTCCCGTGGTGCCCACCTCGCTGACATTTTCAACTGTCTCGCCACGGAGAGTTGAGATACACTTCCATATGTCCAAGTAATTGGCTGAGGGGGAAAAATTACCATATAATATTTAGGACAAGTAATTTTTTTATGCTATCCCTTAACATTAAGACAGTTATAATTATTTTGGTTGAAGTAAAGACTAGCTAACAAAGTAAAAAGGATATATAACAAAAGAGGGTCATTATTAGTACAGTACAATGTTTCACCTACATAAAGCGATATTATGAACTTAATAAAATCTTATGTAGGTTAAATGCTGTATTAACCCTTTCAGGGTTTTGGACGTACTAGTACGGCTTACGCACCAGGGTTTTTTGACGTACTAGTACGCCTAAATTCTAGCGCCCTCAAATCTTGTGAGAGAAAGCTGGTAGGCCTACATATGAAAGAATGGGTCTATGCGGTCAGTGTGTGCAGTATAAAAAAAAATCCTGCATCACACAGTGCATAATGAGAAAAAAAAAAACTTTGTGTTTTTGGATTAAAACAGCGACTTTGCAATGTATTTTCGTATGGTATTTATTGTTGCATTCTAGTTTTCCTGGTCTCATTTTATAGAATGGAAGAGATATTACAGAAATTGAGATGATTTTGACTGGTTTTACAATTAAAAGTACGTTGAAATTGAGCTCAAAGTAGCAGAAATCTTCGATTTTTACCAAAGTTCAAAAGTAAACAAATCATGCTAAGCTTCCAATACACGTCAACTGGCGAGTCTAATATTCTTTTACAAGTGCACCGATATTATTTATACCATTCCTACACTAATGCAGTAGTTTGCATAACAGTAAATTTTTATTTTTTGTGAGAATAAAAATTCAAAGTGGAAAGCAAAAGAATGTAAGAGGGGCATGGGGACGTGACTAATGAACAGAGGAAATGTTATTTTAGTGCCAGGAATGTCTTTCTTGTTTATTCTGGACCCTATTTGGAAATTGGCATCTTTTGAAATTTGTGTGAAATTGGCAAAATTGCTAAATTCTGACCACTGTATTAGATAGTTGAAATCGGTAAATGGGTGGTTTCTTGTACTCATTCGATAGAAAAAATGGAGTTTTAGCGAAATAGTTATGATTTTTGTCGACTAGTACAAAGGAATTGGCTGAAAATAGGGCTCAAAGTGGGCAAAATCGCTGATGCGTAAACATCGTTGAAACCGCTAACTCCGCGAGAGCATAATTCCGTAAGTTTTCCATCAAATTTCATACTTTTGGTGTCATTATGACAGGGAAAAGATTCTCTATCTTTTCATAAGAAAAAATATATTTTTTTTTTTTTTGAAATTCGGGCGACCCTGAGAACATGTCTGGGAGAGGGCCTGGGGACCCTGAAAGGGTTGTTGAGGTGGTTTGGTCATTTAGAGAGAATGGATCAAAGTAGAATGACATGGAGAGTATTTAAATCTGTAGGAGAAGGAAGGCGGGGTAGGGGTCGTCCTTGAAAAGGTTGGAAGGAAGGGGTAAGGGAGGTTTTGTGGGTGAGGGGCTTGGACTTCCAGCAGGCGTGCATGAGCGTGTTCGATAGGAGTGAATGGAGACGAATGGTATTTGGGACCTGACGATCTGTTGGAGTGTGAGCAGGGCAATATTTAGTGAAGGGATTCAGGGAAACCGGTTATTTTTATATAGCCGAACTTGAGTCCTGGAAATGGGAAGTATAATGCCTGCACTCTAAAGAAGGGGTTTTGAGATATTAGCAGCCTGGAGGAATATGTTGTGTATCTTTATACATATATGCTTCTGAACTGTTGTGTTCTGAGCACCTCTGCAAAAACAGTGATTATGTGTGAGTGAGGTGAAAGTGTTGAATGATGATGAAAGTATTTTCTTTTTGGGGATTTTCTTTCTTTTTGGGTCACCCTGCCTTGGTGGGAGACGGCCGACTTGTTGAGAAAAAAAAAAATATATATTTCATGAATATTCATTGTATATACAGCTAGATAGATCTCTCTCACCTTATATACATGGAGAGTCTACTTAAGTTCCTATATTAAGAATGAGGTGACCCCCATTTTATGCTGCTGATACGTTCTAGGCCCTTGACATCTTTACTAAGCTCAATCAATCCATAAACACTTATGCATAAGAATCTTCAATGTTTTTTACAAACTATACCAACTGAATACTATAACTTTTTTTTTTTTTTTTCAACAAGTCGGTCGTCTCCCACCGAGGCAGGGTGACCCAAAAAAGAAAGAAAATCCCCAAAAAAGAAAATACTTTCATCATTCAACACTTTCACCACACTCACACATTATCACTGCTTTTGCAGAGGTGCTCAGAATACAACAGTTTAGAAGCATATACGTATAAAGATACACAACATATCCCTCCAAACTGCCAATATCCCAAGCCCCTCCTTTAAAGTGCAGGCATTGTACTTCCCATTTCCAGGACTCAAGTCCGACTATATGAAAATAACCGGTTTCCCTGAATCCCTTCACTAAATATTACCCTGCTCACACTCCAACAGATCGTCAGGTCCCAAGTATCATTCGTCTCCATTCACTCCTATCTAACACGCTCATGCACGCTTGCTGGAAGTCCAAGCCCCTCGCCCACAAAACCTCCTTTACCCCCTCTTTCCAACCCTTTCGAGGACGACCCCTACCCCTCTTTCCTTCCCCTATAGATTTATATGCTTTCCATGTCATTCTACTTTGATCCATTCTCTCTAAATGACCAAACCACCTCAACAACCCCTCTTCTGCCCTCTGACTAATGCTTTTATTAACTCCACACCTTCTCCTAATTTCCACACTCCGAATTTTCTGCATAATATTTACACCACGCATTGCCCTTAGACAGGACATCTCCACTGCCTCCAACCGTCTCCTCGCTGCTGCATTTACCACCCAAGCTTCACATCCATATAAGAGTGTTGGTACTACTATACTTTCATACATTCCCTTCTTTGCCTCCATAAATAACGTTTTTTGACTCCACATATACCTCAACGCACTATAACTATATATAACAAATACAGAATTACCAATAGAAATAGGACACTTCATAATAGCAAACTTGCTTAAAGTTAATCTGCCTAAAGTGATGGAGACATATTTTTGATTGGTGATGTAAAAGTGAAATGCAGCCTTAATGACCAATGTGCACTTGGAAACTAACTGCTTTAGTTACTCCCTGCTATGTACTACAGTAGTTACAAGCAAGTGAAGATTTTGGATGACAATTCCTATCCACATCTCCCTACAGTAGTAATGGATCTGAAGAAATGTACTGAGTACTTTCTTCAAAATTATTACTGCAGTGACAGACAATTCTCATCAGTCCTTAACAAAATGAAGATTATACAGATGTACCTTTCCACAAGCGAACACATCCATCATCTCCAGAGGAGGCTAGGATGGTTCCTGTCATATTCCAGCATACTCGCCACACTGTGGAACCATGGTCATCAAACTGTCCTGCTTGACGCACCTCAAGGCTTGAAGTGCTGCCGTTGTTCTGTGTTGGGTCTTGTCTGTCAGGGATGTGAGATTTGTATATTTTATACATAACAGAGAACTGATGAATCACAGAATAAGGACATAAATAGGGAATTTCTCACCTTACAAAATACTTACCTTTCACGAAGAGCAAGGATGTTCTCTGTTGAGTTGGGTTCAGTGACCCTGCGCAATACATTTAGCCTTGCCCTTACACAAAATACAGTATCTGAATGCTTCAAGTCCTGCTTTTCACTTACTACCTAATGTTTACTCTGCTCTCTACCATTAAGAAACAATAATTATGATGAGATTTCTACAAGGCATCCCCAGTATCCCATCAAATAAGCCAGCTCTTATACCTAACAAGTTCTAACCTGTCAATCATTTGACATGGAAAACCATTATCTTTCCTGATATATCTCTTAGGATCCAAGGACCTTACCCCATCCACAATCATCCTAACAGGACACAGTTTTCCATGTGATATTAGTATGACAGAGATGAGGAGGTCACTTATAAGATATACAGTATACAAAAATAACATGGAACCATTAAATTTAAAAAGCCCAATGTGCACAATGTGAGTACAACTTATGAGGCTTTTTTTTTATTCACTTTGTTTGTTATCCATTAATGACCCTTGCTTTCAAAGGTGCCTTGATGCAGTATGATTCCTATGGGACATAAAAATGCAGTATGATTGTTATGGGACATAAAAAGGCAGTATGATTGTTATGGGACATAAAAAGGCAGTATGATTGTTATGGGACATAAAAATGCAGTATGATTGTTATGGGACATAAAAAGGCAGTATGATTGTTATGGGGCATAAAAATGCAGTATGATTGTTATGGGACAAAAAGGCAGTATGATTGTTATGGGACATAAAAATGCAGTATGATTGTTATGAGAAATAAAAATGCAGTATGATTATTATGGGACATAAAAATGCAGTATGATTCCGATAGAACATAGGCACGCAGTATGATTCCCACGGGACATAGAAATGCAGTATGATTCACATGGGACATAGAAATGCAGTATGATTCCTATGGGGCATAGGAATACAGTATAATTCCTATGGGACATAGGAATGCAGTATAATTCCTATGGGACATAGGAATGCAGTATAATTCCTATGGGACATAAAAACGCAGTATAATTCCTTTGGGACATACGAATGCAATAAGATTCCTATGGGATATCACAATTTAGATGACCCTCTGTACTACAGCATCCACACCTATCCTTCAGAGTGAAGGAACAGTACTTCCTACATCCAGAACTCTAGGCTGGGTAAGGGCATAATCTAGAATAAATTTTATTTAATATTATATTTTGCTTGTACCTTATAAACCTGGAAAACCACAATGACTCACCTGACAGGTTTCAAAGCAATAATCCTGACATCCTTAGTGGCAATCCCCAAGAGATGATATGACCGGCCAAGATTAGGAGCAAAAGCCAGGTCATGGACAGGCTCTGTCACAGTGACCAGAGTTTCTACTTTGGTCCACTTGTGAGTGTTAGCAGAAAATTCATAGATAAATACTTTCCCACCTGAGGAAGGATTAGGGTCATCACTGCCTACTGCAATCAAAGGTGAGTGAAGCCTGAAAAAATAAAACATAATATAAAAAACATTCATGAAGTAGAAATAAAAACTAAGTGGTGCATTTTTTTAACAAACTGACTGTACCCCACCAAGGCAGGGTGACCTAAAAAAGAAAAACTTAAGTTTTTCTAAGTGATGCATTAAGGACTGTAAAGTTTCTCACACAGTATCAATATGAAAGTAACTTTCTAGATGATAACTGTCAGTCTATTAAGAAAGTTACACCAGTAGAACTTTTCTAGAAAAATTCAAAACATACTGAAGGTAGCAAGACGATTGCAAACAGACCACAAAACAGGTGGGGTTTGAACCCATGGTGAGTGACTGGGCAAGCCAGCTACCATAATCTTATTGTAGCTAGGTATCCCAGTGGTTCACACACTTTCCTAGAGTTTGAGGAATCACTTGCCATGGGTTCAAATCCCACCTGTTCCATGGTTCATTCTGAAGGTGAAAAAAGTCAAAACACCAAGATTAAAATCTATGCCCAGGTCTACTTCTTGCCTCGTCGTTAACAGGTGGTGAGGATGCAGAACTGCTAAACTTGTCTGACATAGATACAGGCAGGTCCTAAGTAATGTGTGTACTGTATATGCATTGTTTAGGCCTGGTTTCACTGTTCGCTTAATATACGACAGTGTAAAAATGTTATCAGGCTTTTATATTTACAGTGATTTTTGCTTTACAGCAGCAGCCTGGAACCTAACTTCCTGTATAAGCAGGGCTCTCCTGGACCTCCAATGCTCCTCAATAACTAATCTGATGATGATCTAGTGTAAGAAAACCTTGGGAACAGATCTTCAGCCCTCACTAAAGTCCAGATTCAAAAGTAGTTGTATTAGTTACACATTATAATTGCCATTTTAATTTTTTATGAAACAACAAAACAAAAAGTGACTGGTCTAGTTTTCTTTCATTAAAATGGGATGATTTTGCTATACTGTAGAATATTTTTAAGGTATAGCACTATATCAAGTCAAAACTGAAACATTGAAGGTTTGTCTTAAAATTGCAGATTACTTGTGAATTATTCAAGCCTCTAGCAAAACAGTGATAACACGAATGATGGTGAAAGTTTTTCGAGTCACCCTAGCTCAGTGGGAGACAGCCAGTACTTTGAAAAAGAAAATTCTTTTCATCCCTTATCCCTGATGGTAGATATGAATTTTTGAAGAGAAGTTACTAAATAAGTAGCTTCACTGACCTAGAGGGTGAAGGATTCCATGAAATGCAGGAACACTGTAGTTTACAATTCATCTCATACTGTGGTGACCACTGGTTAAGATTCATCACATCAGGAGCTTCATATATACGCACCTATTTGAGAAAACAGAAAGTTATTCAATATTTTATTAAGAAACCTATGGTAGTACTATAACCATAATGTCCACTATACTAATCTACATGACAGTTTACACGATAAGAGCATGAATTAACCAGGTTTAATTAATGCAGCAATCATGCATGATGTATTTAGATCATACTCCGTCACACACGATGCATTTAAAAAAATGTAAAGAAGTTGTCAGCCAGAGATGGGAGACTTCAGAAGACAGATTAAGTGATCTACACTCTTTACTGATTACAAATTTTTGTTTTTGGCACAAAGCCTAGCCAGTTAAATCCATAAATAAACCAAAACTTACCACCCCACCAGCTGAGCATGTGGCTAACTGCAGACCCTGAATCTTGGGAGCAAACTTGACATCCATGACAGATGTGCGCGAGTCCACCAGGCCAGCTCGCTTTATCCATGTGCTGTGGACGCCATGCCCAGAGTCACTCACTGTTGGAAAAGCATACTGTATGTTACTTTAGATTTTCTTTTTTAACCTATGAGTCATCTCCCACCAGGAATGGTAACCTAAAAATGGAAAAAATTAATGTTTTTTGTTTTTACATTTAGTAATTTATACACGAGAAGGGGTTACTAGCCCCTTCTTCTCAGCATTTTAGTTGCCTCTTACAACATGCATGGCTTACGGAGGAAGAATTCTTTTCCACTTTCCCATGGATATTAATATTAGATTATGATCATGGAAAAATACCGAAGACATAAGAGGACAGACAGAACCTGAAAAGATGGTAGATATTCAAATTTGATCCAAGAAAAAGGGAAGCTCCAATCCCTTAAATCAAGAGCCCTTAACCAGCATCAAGGCACCCTCAGCTTCAAAGGATTTGATCTCATCAGTTCAGCTTATTCATTATTAAGATAGTTGTACATAACTTGATCATTAAAAGTTTTGTAAAGGGTCATTTAATTTATCAATGGGGCATATTACTTTGCTCATAGAGGTATGTATCTGTAAAATTATTCCTTAACTTTTTGAGGTACTCTTATTTTTATTGAAACATTTTGAAACCCACCACTTTCTTCCCATATAGCCGCTGTTCGGTCAAATGAACAAGTGGCAATGATCTGACCAAACTCTGGGTGGGCCCAAGTCACCTTCCATACAGAGCCACAATGGGTCTTCCATGATGCAGTGCACACCCATTCTCCATCCTCGTTCAGGTCCCAAATCTGTTAATTTAAGAATGTATGAGGTAAGGTTTTATTTCCTACATATCTGTCAGGAACTCCTAATTAGCTCATGAAGTCCCTCTTAGCTAATCAAAGCTCTAACCAATTTTGAAAAGAAATCTGTAAACATAAGATCTCTTTTGGCACTGTTAGGCTGACATCATAACATGTTTCTTTGACTCTCCTAGGCTAAGTTTTTATTACATGTCACTTTGATTACCCCTAAGTTAAGTCATCACATGGGCTATCCTAGGTTAAGTTATCATAACATGTTATTTTGACTATCTTTCATTAAGTCATCATATGTCATTTCTGCATGTCTATGCTATGTTACACAATGCAATTGCTAAAGAATATAATGCAATAATTTCACATACTGTATGTGTACTATAATACATATATACACTGTATAACACTACTGAAAATAAACACACAAAGAAGCAATTACAGTGGTCCCTCGTTTTTCGTAATTAATCCGTTCCTGGAGCCGTTACTATAAACGAAATTTATGATTTGCGAATCTATTTTCCCCATAAGAAATAATGTAAATACAATTAATCCATTCCTGACACCCAGAAGTATTAAAACAAAAAAAATAATTTTCCATGAAATATACATATAGTACATAAACAATACAATGGGAAATGATGAATGAAACATTAACAGCATAACACTTACCTTTATTGGAGATTCTTCTTAGTGTATGGGAGACTGGAGGAGGAGAGAGATTGGATTGTTTACAGTTTGGAAGGGGAATCCCCTTCCAGCAACACCTCAGGTACCAATTGCTTCTCTGGGGTTGCTTCTCTTCTCTGTTTCTTAATGCCACTAGGACCACCTTGAGAGTCACTTTAGTCCTGTCTCGCAAAGTAACTGTGGGGAGAGCTCTGTTTCTGGCGTCTCTTTAACACTTCCCGAAAATGGCCAAAGACTTTGTCACTGTACATATTTCTCACCTTCTTTACCACAGGCTTGGCACTAGGAGATTTCTTGGGAGCCATGGTAGCTTATTTAGTAATTGGAAGCACTAAAATGAGTGGAATATTATGAAATATTTCGTAGGAGCACTTGAGGGGACCTTCACTCACTGGTAAACAATGCCAGACTGGCTGGGTAGGGAGGCCGCCCCGGCTCACACCGTGCGTAAGCGTCCTGGACGAACTACTATTCGCGAGTCAACCTATGAAAAGCGAGTCCATGTTTATATGAAAATACCCCTATGATTGGCGAAATTTACGATTGCCGAGAACTACGAAAAGTGAGGGACCGTTGTATTAAATCTCAATATAAAAATGTTAAATGAAAAGTAAATTAATATGACCAAAAAGTGTAGGCTATATGAATGGATAAATTATCCATATTATTAATTTAATATTTAAATTGCATCGGTCTTAATTCTATGTATTTCAAGTGAGTGCAAAGTCTGTTCCTTCAGTTTTATCTTCGTAGGAAATGTTTCTGACATATGGGATCAATTTTACTATCCTTCCTTGTATATTTTCTAGAGGATTTATTTATGGCAAAGTGCTAAACCCATAAGGTTCACAGTGTGTCTGGGAGTGAGAAATAATCAGGTATGATGCAAGAGAAGAGGTACTCAAATTCCTTGGATCAAGAACACTTCCCCAGCATCAAGGAACCTACTTAAAGGGTTTAATAATCTAGATATTAATATAATTATGAACTTTAAACCTGAATGGGTCATATGATGATTAACGAATTGGCAGCAATCAGGTACAATGCAAGGAATGGGAGATCAGACCCAGTTCCCTGGATCAAGAACATTTCACCAGCATCAAGGAACCTACTTAAAGAATTTAATAATCTAGACAGTGATACAATAAGGGAAGCTTTAAACCTGAACGGGTTAAAGAATGAGACAATCAGGCACGATGCAAGGGATGGGGGGAGATCAGGCCCAGTTCCTCGAATCAAGAGCCCCTCGTCGGCATCAAGAAACCTCCCTTAAAAAGTTTAATAATATAATTATGATGCTAGAACCTTCAGGTCAAATATTAAGCGGCCAAGAAACAAGACAGGAATGGCACCATCCAAGCCAGAATTATTGTTTAATATAATGTTGGTCACCTTGACACTCTGGTCACTGGAACAAGTGGCCATTCGTCGTCCATAGAAGTCGAAAGCCACATCATGGATGAGATCCTTATGCTCTGCTGGCAGACTTTTAGCCACAAACATGACTCTTACCGTCTCCTTTAAAACACAAGAAGACCCAGGTAAACAATGGTCTTCCTGACCCTCGTACCTCACCTCTAATATTGTTGTATCTTCCTTGTCTTACCTCTTATTCTCACATGTATGATGGAAGCACTAAACCTGTAGGGGGTAATACGGTGCCTGCGGGAATGAGGGATAATTAAATTTAATCCAAAGCAGGGAAGAGTACCTAAAATTCCTTGAATCAAGAGCTCTTGACTATCATCAAGGAGCCTCCATTTGAAAGCTGTATCTAATATTACTCTATAAATAAATAAATTAATAAATAATAAATAAATAAATAAATAAAATACAAATGAAAGAAAACCGAGGAAAAACAGTATTCTCTATATTTCGTCCAAATTCCGTGTAAATGATTCAATATCACGGTGGCAGTAGGCCTAACTTAACCTTCCAGCCAAACAATATTACTAGCATGGAAATCGTAAGATTAATATAAGATACGATAACGTAAGATAAGATACTATAAGATAAGATAAGGTATGATAAGATAAGCTACTTTATTTCAGCATGATACAATGTTTGTACAGAGGTGAATGACATTTAGGTGTGCATGCAGAAAGCCCATTAATATGCAGAGCATTTACTATTTGTATGACCTTGTAGGTTTAGCGCTTCTTTTTAATAATAATAATAATAATAATAGTATTTGATAGATTTACTGTCCTGTGGCCTGGTAGGTAACGCTCTCGCCTCACACACTGAGTGTCCGTGGTTCGATCCCCGGTGCGGGTGCAAACATTGGGCGTGTTTTCTTACAAAGACCCCAGTGGAAATAAATCTTTAGGTTATCCTAGGTAATCTACACATGTGCTACTAAGTATGATCATTTAGGGTATCCCATAACTCGATTGGTAGCTCACTTAACTCACACACAAGTTCAGGATTCGATCCCTGATATGGGTGGGAGTATTAGGATGTGTTACTCTTAGACACCTGCTGTCCATGTTCACCTAGCAGTAAAATAGGTACCTGGGTGTTAGTTGACTGGTGTGGGTCGCATCCTGGGAACAAAATTGACCTAATTTGCCCAAAATGCCCTACATAGCAAGGGGCTTTCTGTATAGCAGTATGTCAATGATGTCAGCTATGGTCTGTATACCTTGTAGAAATAAAGGTTATTTTTTTTATTATTATTATTATGTAACTGTATTTGTGTGTTCCTGTACCTGAATAAACATATTGATACCTGTTGTCTTGTTCACCTAGCAAGTAGGTACCTGGGTGTTAGTAGACTGGTGTGGGTCGCATCCTGGAGGACAAGACTGAGGACCACAATGGAAATAAGACAGACAATCACTTGATGATGCACTCACTTTCTTGGGTTATCCTGGGTGGCTAACCCACTGAGGTTAAAAATCCCAACAAAATCTTATCTTACATTTTAAGAAGGATTTAGGTAGGCTTAAATTGTTAGTATATAGTAAAAGAAAGTAGCCTTAGACTAATATTAGGTTATATTAGTTAATGAGATTAGACATATAGAGGTAGTTAGCATCCCACTCAGATTATTATTATTATAATCAAGGGGGAAGCGCTAAACCCGGAGGATTATACAGCGCCTGGGGGGGGATGTGGAAGGCATTCAGGCTTAATTCGGGGAACTGGAGCACAGATCCAATTCCCTAAATCAAGAGCCCCTCACCAACATCAAGGAACCTTCCTTGAGGGGTTCCCACTCAGAGAATTAGCAGCTCAGAAAGGGGGAGGGGGGGATGCTGGCTCTTTCTTCTGGTATCAGCTTCCATGGTGACAACTCATTAGGAGCTCCAAGCTCAGTATCCCATGTGGCTTACAAAATATTCTGTCTGGCACTCAGCAACGACCATCAGAGAACTTCCTGACGAACCGTGGATACAAGTCTCTGCGCCAGACCCATTCTATACATACCTATTATAAAGTTTAATTGATATATTATGAACAGTAAGTAGAGAATTATCACTTTTTCACTGATGAGAAGCACTTTACAGCTTCTCTTAGGCTTTGAAGAACTGCCAGCTTCTCTACTTTTGTACTTTGTGGCCATTATTATGCAAAATTAGGAAGTATTTTTGGGCCACAGTAAACCATGGATAACTGAAACTGCAGATACCAAATCAGTGGATATTGGGGTTCTACTGTATATGTGAACTTCATGTTGTTTTCTGCGGCCCATTTAAAGGTTTGGTTGATGTCTGCTTGGAGATTTGCAGTGTCTTCTATAGATGACACTGTCATGCAAATTCAGGTGTCATCTGCAAAGGAGGACACAGTGCTGTGGCTTACATTTCTGGCTATGTCAGATATGAGAATGAGGAACATGATTGGAGTGAGTATTGTGCCTTGTGGAACAAAGCTTTCCACTGTAGCTGCCTCATACTTTTCTCTGTTTATTATTACTCTTTGTATTCTGTTTGTTAGGAAGTTATGGATTCATCTACCCACTTTTCCTGTTATTCCTTTATCACACATTTGTGTGCTATTACACCATGATCACACTTGTCAAAGGCTTTTGCAAAGTCTGTGTATACTACATGTGCATTTTGTTTTTTCTCCAGAGCATCCAAGACCATATCATAGTAGTGCAGTAGTTGGGAGAGGCAGGAGCGACCTGCTCTAAACCCACGCTGCCCTGGGTTGTGCAACTGATGATTATCTAAGCTCTAAACCCACGCTGCCCTGGGTTGTGCAACTGATGATTATCTAAGCTCTAAACCCACGCTGCCCTGGGTTGTGCAACTGATGATTATCTAAGCTCTAAACCCACGCTGCCCTGGGTTGTGCAACTGATGATTATCTAAGCTCTAAACCCACGCTGCCCTGGGTTGTGCAACTGATGATTATCTAAGCTCTAAACCCATGCTGCCCTGGGTTGTGTAACTGATGATTATCTAAGCTCTAAACCCATGCTGCCCTGGGTTGTGTAACTGATGATTATCTAAGCTCTAAACCCATGCTGCCCTGGGTTGTGTAACTGATGATTATCTAAGCTCTAAACCCATGCTGCCCTGGGTTGTGCAACTGATGATTATCTAAGCTCTAAACCCATGCTGCCCTGGGTTGTGTAACTGATGATTATCTAAGCTCTAAACCCATGCTGCCCTGGGTTGTGTAACTGATGATTATCTAAGCTCTAAACCCATGCTGCCCTGGGTTGTGCAACTGATGATTATCTAAGCTCTAAACCCATGCTGCCCTGGGTTGTGTAACTGATGATTATCTAAGCTCTAAACCCATGCTGCCCTGGGTTGTGTAACTGATGATTATCTAAGCTCTAACCCCATGCTGCCCTGGGTTGTGCAACTGATGATTATCTAAGCTCTAAACCCACGCTGCCCTGGGTTGTGTAACTGATGATTATCTAAGCTCTAAACCCATGCTGCCCTGGGTTGTGCAACTGATGATTATCTAAGCTCTAAACCCATGCTGCCCTGGGTTGTGCAACTGATGATTATCTAAGTGGGTGGTGATCTTGCTTCTTAGAACCCTTTCAAAGATTTTTGTGATGTGGGACATTAGTGCTGTCGGTCTGTAATTGTTTGCAATTGCTTTACTGCCACCTTGTGGAGTGGGGCTATGTCTGTTGCTTTTAATTACTGTGGGTTGACCCATGTCCATGCTCCCTCTCCATAGAATACTTAAGGCACATGATAGGGATTTCTTGCAGTTCTTGGTGAACACACAGTTTCACTAGTCTGGGTCTGGGCAGAGTGCATGGGCATGTCATTTATTGCTTTTTCAAAGTCTTGTGGTGTTAGGGTAATATCAGAAGTTTTCCAATTAACCAAATTTTCAGTCTGTCATAAAAAATTAATTTAGATTGTTGACCCTTAGTCTGATTAATGGCTCACTAAACACTGAGTCATATTGGGACTTCAGTATCACATTCATTTCTTTGATGTCATCTGTTTAAGTCCCATCCCATTTAAGCAAGGGTCCAATATTGAATGTTGTTTTTGCCTTAGATTTGGCATAAAGAAAGAAGTCTTGTTTTTTCAATTTCATTTATGGCTTTAAGTTCTTCCTGCGTTTCTTGTCTCCTGTATGATTCTGTAAGCTTAAGTTCGATATTGCTGTTTCTCTGACCAGTGCTTCCTTTTGTATTTCAGATATACTGGACTCTTTCAGCAGCTCTGTGATTCTTTGCCTTCACCTGTATAAGGAGCATCTCTCTCTCTCTCTCTAATTTACACCACTTCTTTTTTCTTAAAGGAATGTGCCTTGAGCATACCTCAAGTGCCACGTTAATTTTTTCTAGGCATAGGTTCAGATCTGTATTGTTTAGGATATCTTCCCCACTTGTTTCATTTAGGACATGGTTGATTTGAAACCTCTGTATGCTTTTGTTATTGAAGTTGAATTTGGTGTAGGCACCCTCATAATTGATCTCGTTATGCTGATCAAGAGCCCTGCGCATACATGTCTGTGTTTCTATTATGGTATGTCTGAGTGTATTTTTTTGATACTGTTATATTTCATACCAGGTCATCATTATTAGTGAAGATGAGGTCAAGAGTATTTGCCAGTCTCATTGGCTCCACTGTTTGCTGGCTTAAGGTGAATTTGTTTAAGAGATTTAATAGCTCAAGTGTGTGTGAATTTTCATCTGAGCTGCCTCCTGGGGTTATCTTTCTAAAATATTAATTGCTACATTCCTTCATTGTAGGTGTCTTAAGTTGAAATCCCCATTGGGGCAGACAGTAGTCGATTTTCAAAAGCTATTCCTGGAACTGCTGGGAAGTTGCATCAGGAAGCTTGTATGCAACCACAATTAAAAATTTTTGGTTTTCAATCTTTACTGCCAAAACATCATTTGTGGTGTTTTTATAATTCCGAGCAAATGAGTGACTCCGTGACATACGGGCCAGCCCTCCCTTGTTGCCTGTTTTTCTGTCGCATCTGATTAAGTTATAACGTGGGATCCATATTTCGTTGTCAAAGTGATCCTTTATGTGGGGTTCTGTGAAAACTGCAAACATTACATTCAACTCAGTGTGCAGCTGACTGATGAAAGGTATTTTGTTGTTTGTTGATGGCTTTAGACCCTGAATATTTGCAAAGATAAATGTTGTCCTACTGATGGTTTGTAGAAGGGTTTTGTTTGCTGGCACTAATAGCTGTTGTTTTGGAGTGGAGGCCACTGACTGTGCGTCCACTCCAGTAGTGATCCGAGGTATAGTATTTCCGTCATTTCCTGCCAGTTTCTTCTTCCTGGCACTAAAAAATCTCTTTATCTGGAGTGGTTGTAACAACCCTGGTTTGTTTCCCAAGGTTGTAACTACCCTGGTTTGTTTCTGAAGGTTGTTAACTACCCTGGTTTGTTTCTGAAGGTTGTTAACTACCCTGGTTTGTTTCCCAAGGTTGTAACTACCCTGATTTGTTTCCCAAGACCATCCACTGTGACTGAGTATGACAGTAAGACCATCCTGTGTGATGGAGTATGACAGTAAGATCATCCAGTGTGATGGAGTATGACAGTAAGACCATCCTGTGTGATGGAGTATGACAGTAAGACCATCCTGTGTGATGGAGTATGACAGTAAGACCATCCTGTGTGATGGAGTATGACAATAAGGACATCCAGTGTAACAGTATAACAGTAAGACCATCCAGTGTGATGGAGTATGACAGTAAGATCATCTTGTGTGATGGAGTTTGACAGTAAGACCATCCAGTGTGGAGTATGACAGTAAGACCATCCAGTGTGATGGAGTATGACAGTAAGACCATCCAGTGTGATGGAGTATGACAGTAAGACGATGTATCCTATGTGATGGAGTATGATAGTAAGACCATCCAGTGTGATGGAGTATGACAGTAAGACCATCTAGTGTGATGGAGTATGACAGGAGGACGATGCATCCTGTGTGGAGTATGATAGTAAGACCATCCAGTGTGATGGAGTATGACAGTAGGACGATGCATCCTGTGTGATGGAGTATGACAGTAAGACCATCCTGTGTGATGGAGTATGACAGACCATCCTATATGATGGAGTATGACAGTAAGACCATCCTGTGTGATGGAATATGATAGTAAGATCATCCACTGTGATGGAGTATGACAGTAAGACCATCCTGTGTGATGGAGTATGACAGTAAGACGATGCATCCTGTGTGATGGAGTATGATAGTAAGACTATCCAGTGTGATGGAGTATGACAGTAAGACCATCCAATGTGATGGAGTATGATAATAAGTCCATCCAGTGTGATGGAGTATAACAGTAAGACCATCCTGTGTGATGAAGTATAACAGTAAGACCATCCTGTGTGATGGAGTATGACAGTAAAACCATCCAGTGTGATGTAGTATGACAGGAAGACCATCCTTTGTGATGGAGTATGGCAGGAAGACCATCCTGTGTGATGGAGTATGACAGTAAGACCATCCTGTGTGATGAAGTATGACAGGAAGACCATCCTTTGTGATGGAGTATGACAGGAAGACCATCCTGTGTGATGGAGTATGACAGGAAGACCATCCTGTGTGATGGAGTATGACAGGAAGACCATCCTTTGTAATGGAGTATGGCAGGAAGACCATCCTTTGTGATGGAGTATGACAGGAAGACCATCCTGTGTGATGGAGCATGACAGGAAGACCATCCAGTGTGATGGAGCATGACAGGAAGACCATCCTGTGTGATGGAGTATAACAGGAAGACCATCCTGTGTGATGGAGTATGACAGTAAGACCATCCTGTGTGATGGAGTATGACAGTAAGACCATCCAGTGTGATGGAGTATGACAGGAAGACCATCCAGTGTGATGGAGTATGACAGGAAGACCATCCAGTGTGATGGAGTATGACAGTAAGACCATCCTGTGTGATGGAGTATGACAGTAAGACCATCCTGTGTGATGGAGTATGACAGTAAGACCATCCTGTGTGATGGAGTATGACAGTAAGACCATCCAGTGTGATGGAGTATGACAGGAAGACCATCCAGTGTGATGGAGTATGACAGGAAGACCATCCAGTGTGATGGAGTATGACAGTAAGAGCATCCAGTGTGATGGAGTATGACAGGAAGACCATCCAGTGTGATGGAGTATGACAGGAAGACCATCCAGTGTGATGGAGTATGACAGGAAGACCATCCAGTGTGATGGAGTATGACAGTAAGACCATCCAGTGTGATGGAGTATGACAGTAAGACCATCCAGTGTGATGGAGTATGACAGGAAGACCATCCTGTGTGATGGAGTATGACAGATCAATGTCACTACGCAGTGCTATTGAATTAATTAAATTAAAAATGATCAGTTCAGTGTATTCAAATTCGTAAATAAAATAAGTATTCATAATTACCATATTATTCCTATAATTAATAATTTTATTTTGCTAGTTTTATTTTTTTAATGATTAAGCTTTCGCGCACAGCGAAAAATAATGGAAATAAGTAAAGGACCCCAATGGAAATAAGTCACTCCGTCTGACTTTTTTGGGTTATCCTAGGTTCTCTGCACATATGCTGCTATGTATGATAATTCTATTTAACTGTATTTGTGTATACCTGAATAAATTTACTTACTTATTTATTATAGATTAGCTTTCTCATAATCAGCTTGATTGAAGTTTGGCCTGAGATTTGAAGTAATTTTTATGCATATAATGTCGGGAAAGCTAATTTTATTAGTAGTAATAGCCTCTAATTTTACTGCATCACCTCAGTAATCATTTTGAATTGTAATATTCAAAATAAATTAATTCTTATAAAAAAAAAATTGTGATTTTAAAGTTATGGTCCCTTGTTGTTGTGGTGAAGACGAGCTGTGATTGGCTGAGAACAGTGCTGGGCTGTGATTGGCTGAACGTGTCTCAGCTGGGTTGTCGTTGTTGTCCAACTCGTCAGTCATATGACTCAAAGCTGCTCAAACTCTCCTTAATTTGTCTTCTCGATGGGATGTTGCTGCAGTACCGAGCAGGAGAGTCTTTCTCAGGTACAGCAATGATGGAGTGTTAGTGGCAGTGAAGTGTCAGAAGGGAGGAGGTGCTGACTTAACCTCTCCTGCGTGGTACAACTTCATGTGTTTGCTCTGACCCGCCCACTGGTAGAGATTTCCATTATAATTACCCCCCTCGAGGGAGGTGCCTTGAGTCCGGTAAGGGGCTCGTGATCCAAGGAATTGGAACTATCTGCCCCTTCCTTGGATCGAAGTGGATTGCCTTCCATTCCTTCAAGCGCTGTTTGACGCTTTGAGTTTAGCGCTCCCCATGATTGTAATATAGATTTCCATTATTTATTTGATGATACATTGAATACCGAAGTATTTTTTAATTTGCTTGGTGTTTCACAAAGTATTACGTGTATGTGATGAACATGTTCATTTTGTATATCCTTCATAAATTTGGTTTTAGTGCTCAGATATAACTGCTGTCAACAGGAGAATATCACCATCTACAGTCTTGCCTTTATTGAGATAAATGGTTCACAGAACCAACAGGATGATAAATTAGATACTTTTGCAACACTTGGGTATCTTTATTGTGGAAATGTTTTGCCAACCAGTGGCTTCCTCAGTCCAATACAGAGAAAATTGTTGAGGATCAGGAGTTTGAAGTAATCAGTCGCTAAGCCTTGAATTGATGTGATCAGTCTGTCAGTCTTGATGAGAGTACAGCATATGTGCAGAGAAAAAGCTTATATATTGCAGACAAGTGAGGTGGAGCAGTTGTAGGTGGTGTCACCTTGGACAAATCCATAGGTGGGTCTTTGTATGTTCATCTAGCATCTAACTTTTCTCTTCCTCCTTGGGAGGTTCCAACAGTTCGAGTCTGTTCTTCCCCACTGCTGTGCGCAAAAGCTTAAATACCTACAGTTTCTTCTCGCTCCCTTTTTCTCAACCACTTACAGCCTCGTGCCATTGCAGTTTACATTGATAGTTGTAATTCCTCTGATGGTGTCATGTTTGCAGCAGTGTTCCCAGTGTTGTGTGAGGTCATTTGTTGGACTCTGCTAGCATTTTCACAACCAGGCTGTATGCAGTTCTCATAGCAATTATCCGTATTGCATCCAGGCCTACCTCAACATTTGTGGAGTCTCAAATTCCTTTAGTGCTTTGCAGGCTATCAAAAAATTTAATTCTCCTCATCCCCTAGTTCATATGTAGCTTTGGTTGTACTGCATTCCTAACAAAGAAATAGTTTTTTGCTAGTTCCCTGGGCATGTTTGATGTTTGGGGGATTGAGCGGGCGGACTCTACTGCATGGTCAGCAGTTCATGACCTTCCAGTTTCATATAGAGGTATTCCGCTCTGTTTATTTTGCTGTAATCTCTAGCCTCCTTCACAGCTGTTGTCAGCAATGTTGGCCTGAGTTGATTCATAACAAATTATGTTCTATCAAGCAGAGTTTAGGATTCTGGTTTCTTACCATTGTTGTGGTTGGGAGACTACGCTTTCCTGTCTTCGCATTGGACTTTCATCTCACTCATGGGTATCTGGTGAAGAGGCGCCCAGTTCCACTCTGTGTGAATTGTTAGGTTCCAGTTTGCCATATTATGTTGTGCTGTCCTGTCTATCAGCGAGCATGCAGAATTTTCCTCCATTGTCGTCACAGCTCTTAACACCCTCGCTTTATTTTCTCTCCTTGCTGACAGCTTCACCTTTGACACAAACTCCCTCTTTTTGACAGCAACGGATTTATTACACAACCTTTGATTATATGTACTTAGCACTTCTCACCGCCCTTAAAAAAACTACCTCCATTATACTCTCCACCCTTGCTAGTTTCAGATCAAGTATATAAATGCAGTTCACACACCCTACCCTACAACGCTGAATGACCCTGGTGGATTAAGCACTTCGTTTTGATTATAATTATCTTATATCACAGCATTGTACAATAAATGTAGGATTTTGTAAAGCTCTAAAGCCCATTGCCGTAATTAAATTACAGCTAAACAGTATAAGAAATGATGCCACCTAAGGCTATATAAAATACTGCTTTTCATCTAAAAGTACCTTAAATTCTCCAGGAGCTGTATGACCCACTGGGTTCAATGCTATCCATTACTATAATAATTCGACTAAAAGCCATTCTCACCAGTGTTTATTAAGATGAATTTTTACCAGCAGGATGGTGAGGTCAGTGAGAGAACTCGTCTAATTGACCCGGTCAGCAATGTTTATCAGACCAATGCAAGGTAATGCAAATAAAGATGTTTGTTAATTTGGTTTATTTTGTACTGTTGGCTGTATGCATTGATTTCAAAATTTTTGCTGTATATTATCAAATGGAAGGTCTGTACACTTATTCATAAAAGGCTGGTTTTATTATGTCTCAAGTTGTTTTATTATGTTTTGAGACTCCTAGTTTTATACTTTGGGAATGTCATTAAATATTCTTTTTATTTTTTAAACATTTTTGCATATTACATTTTCTCTCTTAATTTCTTTGTCATATTTTTTTTTTTTGTACCTGCCAAATTTAAGCTTAAATGAACTCTTAAGTTGTAATGAGCAACTGTTAATGAATTAAACAGAAGGGTGGATGAGGGGCTTGAACTGCAGTCCATAAATTGACAGTCCAGTGCTCTACTGTCTAGATGGTACTGTAGAGTACACAAATAACCCGCACATAGAAGAGAGGAACTTATGACGACGTTTCAGTCCGACTTGGACTATTTACAAAGTCACTTTGGAAATGGTCCAAGTCGGACCGAAACGTCGTCGTAAGCTCCTTTCTTCTATGTGCGGGTTATTTGTGTATCATTCCAGTCACAGTATTGTGCCTTTTTTTGGTACTGTAGAGTGTTGGACTGTCAATTTATGGATTTTGGTTCAAGCCCCTTGTCCACTCTTCTGTTTAACTAAAATCCTTAAAATATTTTTGACCTTTAATTTATTTCAGCTCCAGTGAATATGGCAACCACTATTCAAGTTCTGCCACAAAAAAGTCAGATGAGCAAACAGCTCTTAATCGAATTCTGCAGCAGACAGCCAGGTTAGATTTTTTTTTTCCAGTAGTGCATATCTTTGTTTACTTAATTCTTTCAGCTTGTTTTATTCAATTTAGAGTTTGACTAGATAAATTTTTTCCATAGTTGCGTATATGATGCCCCATTTTCCTCTCAAAAACACAATTAACCTGAATGTTATGCTACTGTTAAATTCTTGTATATGGTCATTGTATGAATAACCAGCACATAGAAGAGAGAAGCAAGCTTATGACAGTGTTTTGATCTGACTCGCATTATTTACAAATCTCACTGTAACTTGTAAACGGTTCGTCATTAGCTTCTCTCTCCTCTGTGCGAGTTATTTGTGTATTGTTCCAGTCACGGTATTGTGCACTTTTGTTCTGTATGGTCATTCTCATATTCTCATTGTTTCTTAATGTAATTGCCTTACTGTATATAATGTATAGTTACTGAGCAGGATAAAATAAGGGAAAAATGTAAAGGTATGGATAAATTTTAATTCCAATTGATGACTGCTGTGTATACATCCTGTCCAACCTGTAGAATAGTTCGTATAGGACTTGTGCATCATCCTTCATACAAATTTTCCTTGTTTGCTCTTTTATCCTTTATCTTAATATTTACTGCTTTGTTTTTCAAAATTTTGTTACTGCATATACTGCAACTGCTTATCTGTGAGGCCATTTCTCTTAGAAAATGGAGGTCAGCTATACATAATGAATTGTAGGTGGCTGTGATTGTTTGCTTAAGTTAGGCATCAAAGTTCAGACATGAAGTTTGTTATTAATTTTTACTAGGCATCAAGTAGGCATAATATAGGATCATGAGGAACATTGACACCAATCATTTAACCAGATAATTTTGAAACGGTTAAGAGAATATATTGATTCCAGAGAGGTTTGTAATTCTGGTGAGGGGCTCTTGAACTAGGCAGTTGAACTTGCTCTTACCTTCCTTGGGTCGAACCTGATTGCCTCCTATTCCACAGGTGTTGTGTAACCCCCTATGATTTAGAACTTTCCTCAAAATATATAAATAACAATAATTAAATTTTGACATTTTTTTGTGTTTTTATTTTTGGCCTAAGTCAGTGTTGCCAATGAAGAAAGTAAAACAGAGTATGGTTCTCTTTAACTTTCTTCATGTGGGATTACGTATTAGTACCTTATGACAGTACTGTACAGCACATATATCACACATTCTCTTAAAATAACTATTGAATTAGGTATATTTAGGCTATATTTATATATTAGGTAGTAGGTTGGTAGACAGCAGCCACCCAGGGAAGTACTACCGTCCTGCCAGATGACTGTGAAGCAGAAACCTGTAACTGTTTTACATGATGGTAGGACTGCTGGTGTCTTTTTCTGTCTCATAAACACGCTAGATAACAGGGATATCTTGCTACTCCTACTTGCACTTTGCTCACACTTCACAGACACGCACACGCATATAGTGCATATATGCAAGGAATTCGCAAGAGCAGGCGAAATATACACAAACACTGATCTCTGGCTGAAGGAGACTCGAACCTAAGAACCTTGGAACAAGGTACGCAGTGCCTTACCATTCTCACCACACTGGACCAATACCTTGGCATCCAGCTTGTGCTAGACGTTTGATCCAAGGCAGCCAGCTTTCAGGGAGAAGGCTTACAGCTTTTCATCTCATCCACTGCATGCATCAGCCTTGCTAGAGATTTTAACAATGCAAGGAATTTGCAAGAGCAGGCAAAATATACACAAACACTGATCTCTGGCTGAAGGAGGGGATGAGATGAAAAGCTGTAAGCCTTCTCCCTGAAAGCTGGCTGCCTTGGATCAAACGTCTAGCGCAAGCTGGACGCCAAGGTATTGGTCCAGTGTGGTGAGAAGGGTAAGGCACTGCGTACCTTGTCCCAAGGTTCGTAGGTTCGAGTCTCCTTCAGCCAGAGATCAGTGTTCATGCATATATATATATACATACATCTAGGTTTTTCTCCTTTTTCTAAATAGCTCTTGTTCTTCTTTATTTCTTCTATTGTCCATGGGGAAGTGGAAAAGAATCTTTCCTCCATAAGACATGCGTGTCGTATGAGGCGACTAAAATGCCAGGAGCAATGGGCTAGTAACCCCTTCTCCTGTAAACATTTACTAAAAAAGAGAAGAAGAAAAACTTTATAAAACTGGGATGCTTGAATGTGCGTGGATGTAGTGCGGATGACAAGAAACAGATGATTGCTGATGTTATGAATGAAAAGAAGTTGGATGTCCTGGCCCTAAGCAAAACAAAGCTGAAGGGGGTAGGGGAATTTAGGTGGGGGGAAATAAACGGGATTAAAGGGGGAAATTATTTCCCAGTAAAAATAGGCCTTAGACAAGGATGTGTGATGTCACCGTGGTTGTTTAATATATTTATAGATGGGGTTGTAAGAGAAGTAAATGCAAGGGTCTTGGCAAGAGGCGTGGAGTTAAAAGATAAAGAATCACAAATAAAGTGGGAGTTGTCACAGTTGCTCTTTGCTGATGACACTGTGCTCTTGGGAGATTCTGAAGAGAAGTTGCAGAGGTTGGTGGATGAATTTGGTAGGGTATGTAAAAGAAGAAAATTAAAAGTGAATACAGGAAAGAGTAAGGTTATGAGGATAACAAAAAGATAAGGTGATGAAAGATTGGATATCAGATTGGAGGGAGAGAGTATGGAGGAGGTGAATGTATTCAGATATTTGGGAGTGGACGTGTCAGCAGATGGGCCTATGAAAGATGAGGTGAATCATAGAATTGATGAGGGGAAAAGGGTGAGTGGTGCACTTAGGAGTCTGTGGAAACAAAGAACTTTGTCCTTGGAGGCAAAGAGGGGAATGTATGAGAGTATAGTTTTACCAACGCTCTTATATGGGTGTGAAGCATGGGTGATGAATGTTGCAGCGAGGAGAAGGCTGGAGGCAGTGGAGATGTCATGTCTCAGGGCAATGTGTGGTGTGAATATAATGCAGAGAATTCGTAGTTTGGAAGTTAGGAGGAGGTGCGGGATTACCAAAACTGTTGTCCAGAGGGCTGAGGAAGGGTTGTTGAGGTGGTTCGGACATGTAGAGAGAATGGAGCGAAACAGAATGTCTTCAAGAGTGTATCAGTCTGTAGTGGAAGGAAGGCGGGTTAGGGGTCGGCCTAGGAAGGGTTGGAGGGAGGGGGTAAAGGAGGTTTTGTGTGCGAGGGGCTTGGACTTCCAGCGGGCATGCGTGAGCATGTTTGATAGGAGTGAATGGAGACAAATGGTTTTTAATACTTACGTGCTGTTGGAGTGTGAACAAAGTAACATTTATGAAGGGATTCAGGGAAACAGGCAGGCCAGACTTGAGTCCTGGAGATGGGAAGTACAGTGCCTGCACTCTGGAGGAGGGGTGTTAATGTTGCAGTTTAAAAACTGTAGTGTAAAGCACCCTTCTGGCAAGACAGTGATGGAGTGAATGATGGTGAAGTTTTTCTTTTTCGGGCCACCCTGCCTTGGTGGGAATCGGCCAGTGTGTTAATAATAATAAAAAAAAATTATATATTAGTAATTTTTTTCTTTCAACATACTGGCCATCTCCCACCGAGGCAGGTGACCCGAAAAAAAGAAGAAATCTATACAAATAAAATACAATATGTGCTACAACTTCTGCTAATGCATAAAAATATTTGAATTACAAAGATAACAATACACAAATAACCCGCACATAGGGGAATGAAACTTATGATAACGTTTCAGTCTGACTTAGACCATTAAATAGTCACTAACTAGTGGCTAGTTAATAGTAAAAGTTGGACTGAAACATCATCATGAGTTGCATTCTTCTATGTGTGAGTTATTTGTGTATACATGTATAGGTACTGTTTATCTGGAGTGTTGCTGAGTTGTAATTTGTTATCAAGTGTCAGGTTGAATAAGCATAAATTTTTTCTTATGAATAACATTGTTGTACCCATATTACAGCAATATTATTGATGTGGGAGCTTTGGAGTGCCACACCTTGGAGCAGCATGAGTATATAGAGAGAGTGAGAACGTACAATCAGCGGTTAAATATGGTCCCACCACAAAAGGTAGTGTATAATACTCTTAACTTCTTTACTCATCTTTAGTCAAAATAATTTTTTTTAATATACTGGCTGTTTCCCACTGAGGCAGGGTGACCCGAAAAAGAAGAAAACTACAGTGGTACCTTGACTTACGTGTGCCCCAACTTACGAGTTTTCCGAGTTACGAGCCGTCGCTCGGTTGATTTTTTGCTTTCGGTTGCAAGCCAGAATCCGAGTTATGAGCGAGCTTCAGATATTGGCAGCATATCTGAAGTCGAATCCAACTGTGTACCCAGAGGAATGTCATGTACTTTGTCCCATCCCACATGCTCTTCCAAGACATAACTGGAAAGATAATACTCCCACACTAATCCCAGATTGTAGTGTGGCACCTCATCCCTTGTTTGGTTCTCATATAACTCCGGGGAAGAGGTAACCTCCATTTCAACACTCGGAGTTTTTCCAGGAACATTATTTAATGTGGGTTGGAGCACTGATACTGGTGGGTGGAGTAGTCATGGTGGTTGGTGGAATAGTGAAGGTGGTGGGTGGAGTATACAATATTTCCTATTTATAAATACTTTTTTTCTTTTTTTTTTCAACAAGTCGGCCGTCTCCCACCGAGGCAGGGTGACCCAAAAAAGAAAGAAAATCCCCAAAAAGAAAATACTTTCATCATCATTCAACACTTTCACCACACTCACACATTATCACTGTTTTTGCAGAGGTGCTCAGAATACAACAGTTTAGAAGCATACACATATAAAGATACACAACATATCCCTCCAAACTGCCAATATTCCAAACCCCTCCTTTAAAGTGCAGGCATTGTACTTCCCATTTCCAGGACTCGAGTCCGACTATATGAAAATAACCGGTTTCCCTGAATCCCTTCACTAAATATTACCCTGCTCACACTCCAACAGATCGTCAGGTCCCAAGTACCATTCGTCTCCATTCACTCCTATCTAACACGCTCATGCACACTTGCTGGAAGTCCAAGCCCCTTGCCCACAAAACCTCCTTTACCCCATCTCTCCAACCCTTTCGAGGACGACCCCTACCCCGCCTTCCTTCCCCTATAGATTTATATGCTTTCCATGTCATTCTACTTTGATCCATTCTCTCTAAATGACCAAACCACCTCAACAACCCCTCTTCTGCTCTCTGACTAATACTTTTATTAACTCCACACCTTTTCCTAATATCCACACTCCGAATTTTCTGCATAATATTTACACCACACATTGCCCTTAAACAGGACATCTCCACTGCCTCCAACCGCCTCCTCGCTGCTGCATTTACCACCCAAGCTTCACACCCATATAAGAGTGCTGGTACTACAGTGGACCCCCGCATAACGATATTAATCCGTTCATGAGAGCTCATTGTTATGCGAAATTATCGTTATGCGAATGAATTTTCTCCATAAGAAATAATGGAAATCAAATTAATCCGTGCAAGACACCCAAAAGTATGAAAAAAAAATTTTTACCACATGAAATATGCATTTTCCTACACACAAAGAGAAGGATACATGCACAATAGTAGAGTAGTACATGCACAGTATATATTGTGCATGTACTACTATACTAAATGAAGAATAAATGACACTTACCTTTATTGAAGATGCAGCAATGACTGATGAGACACTGTGTCCTGGGAGTGCCTTTTCCTCCTGAGTACTGTAGGTCCTGTTTGGCATTTTCTTCCAGAACAGGCCTTATCACACTGTGTATGCCACTACGATTCTTAAATCTCTCAAACCAACCTTTGCTGGCTTTAAATTCACCAATATGACCACTAGTTCCAGGCATTTTTCCCTGATCACCTGGGTGTTAGTCGACTGGTGTGGGTTGCATCCTGGGAGACAAGATTAAGGACCCCAATGGAAATAAGTTAGACAGTCTTTGATGACACTGACTTTTTTGGGTTATCCTGGGTGGCTAACCCTCTGGGGTTAATTGTTTCTTGGTATTCTCAATAAGCCACACCAACAACGGTGCTACAGCAGCAGCAGCAGCAGCTGACAGTGCTACAGCAGCAGCAGACGATGCTACAGCAGCAGCAGACGATGCTACAGCAGCAGCAGACGATGCTACAGCAGCAGCAGACGATGCTACAGCAGCAGCAGACAATGCTACAGCAGCAGCAGACGGTACTACAGCAGCAGCTGACAGTGGTACAGCAGCAGCAGCAGCTGACAGTGCTACAGCAGCAGCAGACGATGCTACAGCAGCAGCAGACGGTACTGCAGCAGCAGCTGATGGTGGTACAGCAGCAGCAGCAGCTGACGGTGGTACAGCAGCAGCAGCAGCTGACGGTGGTACAGCAGCAGCAGCAGCTGACAGTGCTACAGCAGCAGCAGCATCAGCAGTTGACCATGGTACCACAGTATTTCGATAATATTTCTCACCCTTTTTACCACAGGGTTGGCACTAGAAGCTTTCTTGGGGCCCATGGTCACTTATTTTGCAGATAAAATCACCAAAACGCTGTAATAATACGAAATGTTCCGATTGTATGCTTGGATGTTACCGCGGAGGCTGGCTTGTAAACAATGCCACCGGCGGAACATGTGAGGCTGGCTCAGGCCGCACATTAGACATGTCTCAGACGAATAGTGTTGAGCGGGTTTTTTAGCGGTATGCGAGGCAAAATTTTAGTGATAAAATGTATCGGTATGCGGATTTAACGTTATGTGATGCCAACGGTATGCAGGGGTCCACTGTACTATACTTTCATACATTCTCTTCTTTGCCTCCATAGATAACGTTTTTTGACTCCACATATACCTCAACGCACCACTCGCCTTTTTTCCTTCATCAATTCTATGATTAACCTCATCCTTCATAAATCCATCCGCCGACACGTCAACTCCCAAGTATATGAAAACATTCACTTCTTCCATACTCCTCCTCCCCAATTTGATATCCAATTTTTCTTTATCTAAATTATTTGACACCCTCATCACCTTACTCTTTTCTATGTTCACTTTCAACTTTCTACCTTTACACACATTCCCAAACTCATCCACTAACCTTTGCAATTTTTCTTTAGAATCTCCCATAAGCACAGTATCATCGGCAAAAAGTAACTGTGTCAATTCCCATTTTGAATTTGATTCCCCAAAATTTAATCCCACCCCTCTCCCGAACACCCTAGCATTTACTTCCTTTACAACCCCATCTATAAATATATTAAACAACCATGGTGACATTACACATCCCTGTCTAAGACCTACTTTTACCGGGAAGTAGTCTCCCTCTCTTCCACACACCCTAACCTGAGCCTCACTATCCTCATAAAAACTCTTTACAGCATTTAGTAACTTACCACCTATTCCATATATTTGCAACATCTGCCACATTGGTCCTCTATCCACTCTATCATATGCCTTTTCTAAATCCATAAATGCAATAAAAACTTCCCTACCTTTATCTAAATACTGTTCACATATATGCTTCAATGTAAACACTTGATCTACACATCCCCTACCCACTCTGAAACCTCCTTGCTCATCCATAAAAAAAAAAATTTGTGGTTTTTTGGGAGTTGGAACGGATTAATGGCATTTCAGTTAATTTCACTGAGGAAAATTTATTTGATATACCTGGAAATTGAGTTATGAGCTGGGCCACGGAACGACTTACTCATAAGTCAAGGTACCACTGTATAAAGTTATAAAAAGATAGTGTGGCTATTTTAATATAACTTTGGCCATTTTCTATCGAGGCAGGGTGGTCCAAAAAAGAAGATACACTTTCACCTCTCCATCACTGTCCTGTTAGAGGGGCGCTGATCATACAGTTGAAAACTGCAAATATTCCCACCCCTCCTTCAGAGTGTAGGCACTGAAAAATTGCACACATGGACACTTTTTTTTAGAACCATGGTATTCTGAAAACAAAAAAAAATCTAATAATTACAAATAATAAAATGAGATTAGTGATGGTAATGGTGTTTGTGTATGAATTTTGCATTCATTAATTTTTAAGGGGATGGTCAGGGTAACCTCTAATTTTCAGTACAGTAATTCATCCTGTCGGCATCTGGGGCATGTTATTACTACTACTACCCAAAAACAAAACAATCAAACTAACAAAATCAGATGAACCCCTACTCACTCCAACTGAAACAGCAAACAGACTTAATGTTTTCTTCTCCACCATAGGAAAAAATCTAGCAAACAAAATACCAAGCACAAACACCCGTCCATCAGACTACCTCATAGGTACCTACCCAAATACGCTATTCCTAGCTCCAACCAACCCCATTGAAGTTACGCTTATCATAAACACCCTTAAAAACAAGGCAGGAGACATAAACAACTTGCCTGCTTTTATGTACAAAAAAGTTTCTCAAGTATTGTCACCAATTATTGCAACGCTCTTTAACAGATCCATTGAATCATCTACCTTCCCAACAATTCTCAAAATAGCGAGGGGTCACTCCGATCCATAAAGGAGGTGTCCAAGCTGACTTGAATAACTATAGACCAATATCTAACTTACCACTGCTCTCTAAAATCATTGAAAAATTAATTCATAGACGGATCTATTCCTACCTCGTTTCACACAACATATTAAACCCTTGTCAGTTTGGATTCAGGAATAATAAAAGCACAAATGATGCTATCATACACATGCTAGAACTAATATATACCGCACTTGAAAAGAAAGAAGCCCTGTTGGGCATTTTCGTTGATTTACGTAAAGCTTTCGATATGGTCGACCATGAACTGCTGTACTCCAAATTAATGCACTATGGTATCAGAGGCCACTCCCTCAACTACCTAAAATCATACCTTAGTAACAGAACTCAATATGTGTATGCAAATGATGCAAACTCTTCCACCCAACCAATCACAGTAGGAGTCCCACAAGGAAGCGTCCTTGGACCACTCCTCTGTCTCATCTACATCAATGATCTACCGAATGCATCACAGCTACTCAAACCCATATTATTTGCAGATGACACTACATATGTCTTTTCCCACCCAAACACAGTCATACTAGCAAACACAGTCAATGCTGAATTACAGAAAATATCTGCCTGGATGATGACTAACAAACTTAACTCTGAACACTGATAAAACCTATTTCATTCAGTTTGGAAACAAAGCTGCAAATGATCCAATTAACATAACGCTAAACGCTGAATAGATCATCAGTTACAAGACTCAGAGGGAAAAATTCCTAGGTATCCACCTTGACAGTAGCCTTAAGTTCCGGACACACGTACAACAAATCACAGAAAATCTCCAAGACTGTAGGCATACTATCAAAGATAAGGTACTACGTTCCACAATCAGCTCTCCTGGCACTGTACCATTCACTCATATACCTTATCTTACATATGGAATTTGTACATGGGGATCAACAACATCCAATCACCTAAAAACCCTAATAACCCAGCAAAAGGCAGCAGTAAGAATGATAACAAATTCCCACTCCCACCAGCATACTCCACCAATTTTCAAGTCTGAATCTGCTCACCTTAAGAACATCCATACTTATTCATGTGCCTACTACATACACAGAACAATACACGCAAATATAAACCCTCCACTCAAACTTCTCCTCACCAACCTAAACAGGACACACAAATAACCCGCACATAAAAGAGAGAAGCTTACGACGACGTTTCGGTCCGACTTGGACCATTGACAAAGTCGGACCGAAACGTCGTCGTAAGCTTCTCTCTTTTATGTGCGGGTTATTTGTGTATCGTTCCAGTCACGGTATTGTGCCTTTTTTTGTTATTTATAAACAGGACACATGACCACAACACAAGACACATCTCTTTTTGATATACCTCGTGTCCATATCACACTGTAAAAACTCTATGCACATAAAGGACCCCAAAGTATGGAATTCATTACCAGAAGATATTAAAGTAACCCAGTCTGAAAATCAATTTAAGACTCTTCTCAAAAGCCACTTAATCACCCTAGACTAAACGCTAAATACTCAGTACACACTTACTCACCTATGTACTCCCACATCATAACTGAAACAATCACTTTGAACCTTTTATCCATTATTGACAGGAATATATTTGAATCATTGTTTTCACAAAAAGCATTTTTGAATATAAATATATCTTTGTCTTATACAAATTTTGATTCATTTGTAATTAATATTCTACTGTACAACAATGAAATAATTACTATCCTACTGTACAACTATGATATACTCTTTAGTGTTAAGTAGACTGTAAGCCAATGATGTTAAGTTGGCCCATAATGCCTAGGCATAATAGAGGCTCTTTTGCATTGCAACCCACTATTGTAAATACAAAATCTCGTTGTACTGTTTGCAAAGACATAAAATAAATAAATAAATAATGTAGGATTTTATCAGTTTTGATTGCCTACTCTAAGAAATTCACAAGCACTTGCATGCTGAACCATAAATATCACAACGATGAAAAATACTAAAATTTATAGTTCTCAAAAACTTCCTAATGGTCTGTTAAGGTGAAATGCTATAACATATAACTGTAAACAAGAAATAACTTAGTAATAATGATAGAAATTCTCAACAAAATGTTAGATTAGTTGCATCAGTGTCCATTTATCTAACAAGAAATAACTTTACCACTGTATTAAAATGAAAGTTCTTCTGGCAGATTCCCAACAGAGTCCACCCTGAAGCTCAGCTCTTGTGTGATGTGCCAGCAGTAGAGAGAATCTTATCTGCCCAGCCAATATTATTGGCAGATTTCAACTTGGTATGTATTTTCAATACATTATAATATAGTGGAAAATAGATTTTTATGTACGTACTTGTAAAAATTAAATTTTCAATATGTGCATAATTTCAAATAAGGCCCCAGTTATACGGCAAGTTAGGTTCCAGACTACCAACAAAAAGTGATCGCCAGAAAGTGGAGCATACCCTATCATATACAGCCTCTCCTCACTTAATGACAGAGTTTCATTCCTAAGACCATGTCGTTAACCCTTTGAGGGTCGACAGGCCCTCTCAGAAACTCTTTCTCAGGGTCGGCCAAATTTAAAAAAAAAAAAAAATTTCTTATGAAAAGATAGAGAATCTTTTCCCGATCATAATGACACCAAAATTATGAGATTTGATGGAAAACTTACGGAATTATGCTCTCGCGAAGTTAGCGGTCTCGGCGATGTTTACGCATCGGCGATTTTGCCCAATTTGAGCCCCATTTTTGGCCAATTCCTCTGTACTAGTCGACAAAAAACATGAATATTTCGCTAGAACTACATTTTTTCTATTGAATGAGTGCAAGAAACCACCCATTTACCATTTTCAACTATCCAATACAGTGGTCAGAATTTAGCAATTTTGCCAATTTCACACAAATTTCAAAAAATGCCAATTTCCAAATAGGGTCCAGAACAAACAAGAAATACATTCCTGGCACTAAAATGACATTTTGTCTGTTCATTAGTCACGTCTCGAGGTCCCTCTTATAATTCTTTTGCTTTCCACTTTGAATTTTTATTCTCACGAAAAATAGAAGATTTACTGTTATGCAGACTACTGCATTAGTGTAAAAAATGGTATAAATCATATTGGCGCACTTGCAAAAGAATGTTAGACTCACCAGTTGACGTGTATTGGACGCTTGGCATGATTTGTTTACTTTTGAATTTTGGTAAAAATCGAACATTTCTGCTACTTTGAGCTCAATTTCAAGGTACTTTTCATTGTAAAACCAGTGAAAATCATCTCAATTTCTGTGATATGCATTCCATTCTATAAAATGAGACCAAGAAAACTAGAATACAACAATAAATACCATACGAAAATACAGTGCAAAGTCGCTGTTTTATGCCAAAAAAACGGTGAAAGTTTTTTTTTTCTCATTATGCACTGTGTGCTGCAGGATTTTTTTTATACTGTGCATACTGACCACATAGACCCATTCTTTCTTATGGAGGCCTACCAGCCTTTTCCCGCGAGATTTGACGGCGCTAGAATTTATGCGTACTAGTACGTCAAAAACCCCTGCGCGTAAGACGTACTAGTACGTCCGAAACCCTCAAAGGGTTAAATGAATTCGTCGCTGAGGAGCATACTATAATGGTAGAGTTTGTGCCAACCATCTTTAATATTGTTCTAATGTCACCTTTGCACCATTTATAACATTTCTGGTATATTTTTAAATGCTTATACAGTAGTTTACTGTATATTGAAATAAAATAGAGGGAGTCAGCTCTAATATCCATTATTTAGGTATGAATACTGGTCAGAGAGCCCGTCTTGAGTCCGAGGCGTCGGTAAACGAGTACATCGCTAAGTGAGGAGTTTCTGTATTAAGTATGCAATAGAGCTAGGCCTAAAAAAAAAAAGATAAAACAGAAGAAATGTGCAGTACACACATTATTTACCTTAAAATATTTTTGTCGGGATGAAAGAATGCCACAGTAGTGGAGCTGGCCCATATAAATGGAAAATGGGTTTAATTGAAAAGGGGCCGCAATAGCATAATGCCATAAAGAGGTCCCTTCCTGTATACGTGAAGTCAAGGAGGTTCATGATTTGGCATCAACGAGTTTCCAGTTAGTTTATGATGACCTGCACACAATAATCTACTTTATCTTTGCGCATCTTTACACAAATTCCACCGATCAAATAGGCAGGTCATATGGCGTTATTATTTACCCTTGATTATAATAGTACAGTGGATCCCCGGTTTGCGATGGCATCGGTATCCAATAAATCCGGTATTCGATACATTTTAACGCAAAAATTTTGCCTCGGTTCCCGTTAAAAAACCCGCCATACGCGATTCGTCTGAGATGTGTCCACGTGTGGCCTGAACTGCCCCGGGCATGCCAGTATTTACAAGCCAGCCAGTGTGCTCGCATCTAAGGATGGATTCGGTACATTCCATATTATCAGTGTTTTTGGTGCTTGTTTCTGCAAAATAAGTCACCATGGGCCCCAAGAAAGCTTCTAGTGCCAACCCTGTGGTAAAAAGGGTGAGAATTAGTATGGAAATTAAAGATTTTGAAGGGTTTGAGGCTAACCCTGAGAAGCCTATGCCAGTTGTGGAATCCATTGTGCCTACTTCAAAAATTAAGGAAATGTGTGCACAGTGGGTTGAACTGCAAAACCTTTATGGATGAAAATCACCCTAACACAGCTATTGCAAGCCGTACTGGTGACTATTACAATGACAGTGTTGTGGCCCATTTTAGACAAATCGTAAAGCAACGGGAGGTACAGAGCTCTATGGACAGATTTGTTGTGCGACAGAGGTCCAGTGACACTCAAGCTGGTCCTAGTGGCATTAAAAGAAGAAGGGAAGTAACCCCGGAAAAGGACTTGCTACCTCAAGTCCTAATGGAAGGGGATTCCCCTTCTAATCAATAAGTTCGACACTTTCCCCTCCTCCCATCTCATCAATCATCACCAGATCTTCATTAAAGGTAAGTGTCATGCATTCTATTGTTAGTAGAGTACTACAAACTGTGCATGTCTTCTTCAGTTTGTGTGCATTAAACTTAATATTTCATGTGGTAAAATTTTTTTTTTCATACTTTTGGGTGGCTTGCACAGATTAATTTGATTTCCATTATTTCTTATGGGGAAAATTGATTCGCTTTTTGATAATTTTGGTTTACGATGAGCTCTCAGGAACAGATTAATATCACAAACCGGGGGTCCACTGTACATACAATAATTACACAGTGTAATACAAGACAGTTAAATAATCTACACACAGTGTAATATAAGACAGTTAAAAGATAAATGTTGACGAGAGTATAAGTAAGCACTAAGTAGAGGATTTTCAACACTAAGGAGTTAAAAACCACTTGATAAACTTTAAAGTTGACACTCATCCGTCAGTGTTGAATCATCAGCTACAGTAACATTGTACAAAATATTTTAACTGTACATTCTGTACTTCAAAATTGTTCTTGATCCTTATCCTACCATTGTGTCAGTTCCCTCACTCTCTCATGCTGCACATATTAATTCATGAATTGAGGAAATGCTTGTTAAGCAAGCACAACATTCATTCTGACCTTTTTATTTTTTTTTTTTAGCACACTGGCTGTCTCCCACCAAGGCAGGGTGACCCCAAAAGAGAAACACTTTCACCATCATTCACATGCACAGATATGAGTTTAGATGTCCCTCCAAACAGCAAATATCCCTAACCCCTCCTTTAGAGTGCAGGTGCTGTACTTCCCATTTCCAGGACTTGAGTCCAGCTAACCATTTTCCCTAACATTGTATCCTTAATTCCCAGATGATTTCTTCAACCCAGAAGGTGGTAGCAGCATTGTCACACATAAAAGTGGATCATAAGGAAGATTTAGTTGTTCCATTTGGGATCCCCTGACAGTCTTACTACCAACCTTCCTATGCAGATCAGCTTGCATCTGCTGTCATCCTCTTCCGACGACTCTTCTCTATATTTACATCAGCCAGTCAAGCACCTTCAAGCTACACTTCAATTAGAGAGTGAGGAACTTGTGTGTGTGTACAAGCATGTGTGGGTATATGTTTGAGCATGCATGTGCGCACACGTGCTTGTGCTAGCATGCGCATGCACATTTGTATGTGGCTCTCATGGTGTTTGTGTGGGTGTGAATACTTGAATAGAATGATACAGTTATTAGTATTTATCATTTAAGAATATATATTTTTTACAAGTTGTAGTAAATTTAAGGAAATAACACCAGTGTCTCTGAATTGAGCAACTAAAGGTGGTAAGTGATGGAGATTGAAGCTTGCTTGAAAAGACCCTCATGTCTTGTAAGCACCCATATGCAAGTAAGAACTATTACTGCAATATAATATTTGATATGTCTAATAAATGAAATTTCTTGTCTCTGGTCTAAGTTTTTTCTCTTCCTATAACATTAGTGAATTTTTCAATTATGTCTAGTCCTATATATGTTCATTTATCTTTATATATTATTTATGTTGAGTCTGCTATTTATAATTTTGAAGACCATTGCAGAATATAGCTGTATTTTAACTGTATTACTTATTACAGCCATTACATAAGTGACTTAATGCTTTTGACAGGGATAAAACATTTGACATAACATGCTAGTGCTATGTTGTATGCATGCGAAGTATATTTTCTAACTTCACGATAAGTATGTAGTGTCGGTAGTGGATTTAACAGATCAATATATGATTATCACATGTGCATTGTTTTATTTGTACTTATTACAAAAATGAGCCAAGTCCGTGCGGCACGAACATCTTTTATTTGCCAAGGTTTTAAATCTGAAATATTTAATCAGTTCATGTTAACCCGTAAACGGTCCAAACGTATATATACGTTTTTTCAACATTTGAAAGTATGTAAAAAAAGTAGTTTTTTTTTTTTTTTACATTTGAAAACGTGTAAAAAAAACTTTGATCTACGTTTTTTTTTCGTTATTGAAAATATGTAAAAAAACGTAGTCTACTTTTGGAGCACTACGCATATGAATGTAGATCTGCTTGGATCATTTACGGGTTAAGCATTAAACTCTTGGGTAAGTGGGAGAGAGATGCACTTCCTATTTTAACTCGCCTGTAATTAAGTGAATTCATCTTTCTCACTGGTGATTTACTTGCTGAATAGAAGGCTGTATATTACATTGTTATCAACATTATGTGCAGTATTGAACATACTCTCAAGGAAGTATTAAATGATTATGACTCGTGTCACAAATCTAAAGAAATTTGATACCAAACAGTACTATAAATTTGTTCCTTGGGTTATTTCATTGAGAAATTCAGTGATATTACTACCCATCTTAATACCCAAATTGATTCTTATTTGCCAAATTTTTCATGTCATATTAATTTTTCAAATGTAAAAATTTTGCATTTATTCACAGTGGCTTAATGCTAGATAAAAAAGTGAGGGAATGCATTTTGAAAGTGTTGCTCAGATGTGGTAACACACTTTTTCCATAATGGCGAACGCAGCACTCATACAGCCAAGGGTCGGTAAATTTTTTTGAAAGTTGACTCGAGTGCAGGGAATTTTTGAGGCCATATGCACTGGATATTAAGATGTATTTTGTGGTTGAAGCTACAGTAATTTATAGTGTCATTAGATATGACCTCAATGGAAATAAGTTACTTTTAACTTTTATGGGATTATCCTAGATAATGTACACACATCACTATGTATGATAATTGTACTTATGTGGACCCGTACCTAAATAAACTTACTTATGTACAGTATGACATCCATCATGATCAATAAAAATAACTAACAATGGAAATTATTAAATAAAAAGTTTAAGTGGTATGCCTTGGTGGCTATTAAACCGAAAGGTTATTTAATAGGCTAACACTACTTGCACCCTCACATCTGTACATGGAAGGAATAAGCAGCACATTGGTGAGTTTGTATCATAATTTGGATGGAGAATGTTTAGACCAGAGATTTGTTCTGAGTTGAGCCTTTTAAGTTTTTTAAACTTGTGTAATAAGTGACATTTTTGTGGGCAACAAATCATGTGTAACTGTACCCATAATGTAAATTTTAAGTGCAATGTCAGTGTGCAGCTTAGGATTAGTCAAAAAATACACCTTATTAAATTCAATTTAAATACATTATTTAAGTTCACCTTGCTCTCGTGGCTCCAGTGTGAGCCCTTTGGACTTGGCTACTTGTTTATTTATTGTCGAACAATGGCACTTAAGCCATTTATATACACAGTCATCTTAGTCAGATTTGAGTTGGAGGACCCCAAAGGTTAGTAAATACGAGATCACTCACATAGGTTAACAGCCTAGACGTTGGTCATCATAAAAAGGTTCATGCTGCTAAAGCTACATTTTTATATAGAAGTGCATGGAATTACTTTTGAACATTTGATCAGTGACTTCAGATCTGGCAGAATATGTTGTCTAGAAAGTCTCTATGCTGTGATTGTCTTTTAATTTTGTTTTTAAATGTTTGCAAAGGAATTCTTACTTCATTTTTTCCAAAGTCTGGATTTTTGCTTCTGGCCAGTCACTTAAAGTATCCAGCTCAGAAATTATGTTTGGAATGGAACTAAAAGTGTCTGCTAGTGAACTAGTTGATTCATGGGAAAAGTTGGTATGAATAAACATTGTTTCATATTGTTTTATAATTTTGTAAAAACTGACCATGATTGATGGAAACAAACATGGTCAGTGTCACTGATGCAAATATCATTTTCTTTATGGCCTTCTGCTTCCAAGCCTTCTACCCTTGTGTTCCTTCATTGTTTCTAACAGTTATATGCTGCAATTAATTAACATGTCTGCACAAACTACAGTATAGTAGTAATCCTTTCCTATAAGTACTCTGAAAGAACTGTGTCCAATTAATGCATCGTACTTAAGTAACAAATTAGATCATAGGCTAATGTTGCCTATGATCTAACTTGAGTGCGAAGTTTAGTGAAGTGAGTCGGTAAATTATTCTCATATCTTCCAGGGACAGGACTATAAAATACATACCATGACGTTAAAGATTTGTAAGTTTGGATTTACGTATTTAAAATAGTGCAAGAATGCCATTTTACATACGAAAATAAGAGAGTGCCATTCTCATATCACTGCATCACTGTTTATTCAGGACATTAAACTCAACCTTTAAAATTTGCCTTCACAAAATCACGTTGTATTTAACCCTTAAACGGTCCAAACAGATCGACGTTCAAATCCGTAGTGCTACAAAAGTAGATCTACTTTTTTTTTTACATATTTTCAAATATAACAAAAAAAAAGTAGATTAAATTTTTTTTTACACATTTTCAAATGTAAAACAAAAAAGATCTACATTTTTTACATACTTTCAGATGTTGAAAAAACGTATATATACGTTTGGACCATTTAAGGGTTAACTTAAAAAAAAAAAAAAAAACTTTCTAATTTCAATCGTAGCAAAAATCCAATAGACACGTAGAAGTATACAAAATTCCTTGCTGTGGGCAATGTGCTGTGTTTAGAGGTGGTTTAAGTCACTGACTAAATACATTCAGATTTGATTAAAATGAGATTTATTTCCTACTTTCACTGTGGTATTTTTACGTACAGTGGTACCCCGAGTTTCGTACAGCTCCCAACACGAATAATTATGTAAGTGTATTTCTGGGGGTCTGAAATGGACTAATCTAATTTACATTATTCCTTATGGGAATAAATTCATTTGGTAACGGCACTCGAACAGCCTTCTGGAATGAATTATGGCCAAACCTCAGGGTACCACTGTATTTGTAATCACGCATTTTATTGCGATTTCTTCCATGTGTTTGTCTTTATACTTGTGTGTATTTTTAACTAATGGCCATGTCCCACCAAGGCAAGGTAGAGTAATACAATTGTGAAAGGGAAAGATATCTTTATTTGAACAATGACAAGATCTTATAGTGTTCTACACAGCAGGCAACTATTTACAGTACACACAGCAGTGCCACATAATGCAGCTATGACCTTAAAACTAAATCACTGGTGCATTCTTCACAGCACCAACCACAGGCCCATAACCTGAGCAAAATCTCAGAAGAGGGTCTACAACTAAATCAGGTTAATGGTCACTAAACAATGGTTAAGGGCTTGGGTCCAGTTTTAATTTATGAGTGCAAATAGCTTAATAGCACTACTGAATGATCATAAGTATGGTAACATCTCACACTGTGGTACGAGTGGGGACTGAACTCGTGGCAAGTGAGTCGTGAATTCAATTCCCACCCGTACCGTGGTTTGTTTGCAATGATTTCGCGAGTCATACTATCTCACTATTGTCTACTCTTTATTTTTTTTTTTTTTTTTTTTTTCAACAAGTCGGCCGTCTCCCACCGAGGCAGGGTGACCCAAAAAAGAAAGAAAATCCCCAAAAAGAAAATACTTTCATCATCATTCAACACTTTCACCACACTCACACATTATCACTGTTTTTGCAGAGGTGCTCAGAATACAACAGTCTAGAAGCATACACATATAAAGATACACAACATATCCCTCCAAACTGCCAATATTCTTTATGTATTTATTATATAGTATTTACTTTAGAATTCTAGGGAAAAGAGGCAGCTGACCTTGCTCTTCCCAGAGGCTACAGCCCTGAAGCAACTTGTCATACTGATGCAAGTATAAAAACACAAGGAAAAGGAACTACATAAACACTTTGAATACAGTATATTACATGGTATGGCATGACTACATTAAATTACAAAATCCTCAAGTGATGAGGGGCTTCCATCACTGAATGACTTGTGCAGTCATTTCTGATGTCTTGGTTTGTGGACCCAATAGTCTTGTCCTCTAGTGCAGCGGTCTTCTCTCTCTGGGACCTATCGATTCTTGGCATTGCAAGATATAACCTATCTGCCTCTTGTGGATGTTCCAGGATGCCCTGGCTACCCTCTGCTCTGGGAACTCGTACAAATTTAGTGCTTTTGTGATTACTAGTATACGTATTATAATATTAATCCAGGAATACATGGATTCCATCTGCCTCAGCTTGCAGGGAATGCTTAAGAACTCATCCCATACACCCTCTGCCTCAATTTCTATGGAATGCTCCAGGAACTCCCAGCCACAAATACCTTCCTCATCTGGCAAAGGATACTATGAGAACTCCTTGCCATCATCCACATCAACTTCAAAGAAATACTCTAGGAATTTCTTCTAACTACCCTCCACCTCAACTTCTAATAGATGCTCTTGTGAATTCTTTCCAAACATACAACTGCCTCAATTTCTGATGACCCTCATGGGAGGTTCTTTGATGCTGGTGAGGAGCTCTTGATCTAGGGAACTGGATCTGTGCTCCACTTCCCTGAATTAAGCCTGAATGCCTTCCATCCCCTCTCCCACAGGCACTGTATAATCTCTTCTGATGAAACACGCTCATCAGGTCAAGACACGGTGTGTGAGGGGAGCATGCGTGTTGATGAAATGGATAAACTGCCTCGGTCAACTAAGCAGGCTTTGCAGATTCTTCACTCAGGCGCTAAATATTGAACTACACGCCTTGGTTCTGCAACGTGTTTCATTGTTATTACCCATACGTAAACTAGGCTCTAGATCTTCACTACCTTGAAAATGAAAAGCATTTTTCATGGTTGGGACAACTATATATATTTTGAGGTCTGAGATACCTAGGCTTTCAAAATGTACATTTCAGACAGTCAAGGAATCAAAATTTATTTTTTGCATCTCATGAGGTTCATATCCCAATAGAAGTGCATCAGCAAATATTCAGTGGGTAAATTTCTAGTTTTAGACAAAAAGGAAAGATAGAGAACAAACATGAGAACACTTTTTTCTAAGGTTGTCTCCAAGGGGTTGTTTCTCTGTTTTAATTGAAAGTAGAAAATTTTTCAGGATAATCATGAATTACACAATGAACACTAGCCATTATAATACTTTTTTTATGCAACAATAATGTGAAGATAAATCTTGGATATTAGTTCATTAATGGAAGATCATAATGAATTGCTAGACATGACAAAATAACAAGAAATTTAAATGAAATTTAGATTTGTTTACTGTTAACAGAGCATCAGACTGTAGAGGGGGAGGGTGAAAAATTAACTACTCTACTGTCTATTGCTCACCTTTGGCACAACATATAAATAAATAAATATTTAAGAATGAACTTCAGACTGCTAGTGCACAGTATGCCAAATCTGAGATCAAACTTACTCAAATATTAAAAGTTTAAGGAATTAATTTAGGCATCTGATTATCAGAGTCAGTGGGATTATGCCTCTCATAGCCTCTACGGATCTTGGTCAAACGAGAGTCGATGCACGGCAGCACCAGAGGAATTTTGAACATCAGCGTGAGGAAGCACACAGGAACCATTATCTGCAAAGTTGAGTAAAATTCTGGGGGTAATCATGACAGAGTAACTTTGCTCAGCTGACATTCATATTATTATTATTATTATACAGCACTGTATGACCCTTGTGGGTTTTACCCTTTTTTTTTTATCACGTTGGCCATTTCCCCACTAAGATAGTGACCCAAAAAGAAAGAAAAAACTATCATCATTCAACACTTTCACCATCACTCATATATAATCACTGTCTTTGCAGAGGCGCTCCGATACGACAGTTTAGATGTCCCTCCAAATTGACAATATCGTAAACCTCTCCTTTAAAGTGCAGGCATTGTACTTACCATTTCTAGGACTCAACTCTGGCTAACTGGTTTCCTTGAATCCCTTCACTAAATGTTATCCTGCTCACACTCCAACAGCTTGTCAGGTCCCAAAAACCTTTCGTCTCCATTCAATCTAACATGCTCACACACGCTTGCTGGAAGTCCAAGCCCCTCGCCCACAAAACCTCTTTTACCCCTCCCTCCAACCTTTTCGAGGACACCCCTACCCCTCCTTTCTTCCCCTACAGATTTATACGCTCTCCAAGTCATTCTACTTTGATCCATTCTCTCTAAATGACCAAACCACCTCAACAACCCCTCTTCAGCCCTCTGACTAATACTTTTAGTAACTCCACACCTCCTAATTTCCACACTACGAATTCTCTGCATAACATTTACACCACACATTGCCCTTATACACGACATCTCCACTGCCTCCAGCTGCTTCCTCACTGCAGCATTTACAACCCAAGCTTCATACCCATATAAGAGTGTTGGTACCACTATACTCTCGTACATTCCCTTCTTTGCCTCCATGGATAACGTTCTTTGTCTCCACAGATGCCTCACTGTATAGCCCTTGTGGCTTAGCGCTTCTTTTTGATTATAATAATAATAATCCACAGATGCCTCAATGCACCACTCACCTTTTTTTCTTCATCAATTCTGTGGTTTACTTCATCCTTCATAAACCCATCCACTGACAAGTCAACTCCCAAATATCTGGAAATATTCACTTTTTCCGTACTCCCTCCCTCCAATGTGATATCCAATTTTTCTTTATCCAAATCGCTTGATATGCTTATCACCTTACTCGTATCTATATTCACTGTCAACTTTCTACCTTTACCCACTTTACATATAGCCCTTGTGGCTTAGCGCTCCTTTTTGATTATAATAATAATACTTTACATACTATGTATGATACTGTAATTGTAATTATGTGTATATGTGCCTAAAAAAGCTTACTTCCCATTTCCCAAGTGCTATATGGCCCCTATGAGTTTAGCATTTCGTCACAAAAATAAAAATACTGTACCTGTGGCCCCGACAGCAGGAAGTAACAGGAAAGAGGACGCATTAAACCAAGGATAGAGAGAAATGTGAGGTGTGAGGTGAGAAGGATGACGGAGATCCAGCCCAGGTACCTCTGAACCACTGAGAACTCTCTCCATGTTAACTTGACTGACACTGAGGGTAGTGATGTCACACCCAGGATGGTCATCACCGCCGCCAGTAGCACACCTGACCAATGGAAATAAGTCACTTTTTCTGACTTCTTTTTTTTTTTGTTATCCTAGGTAATTTACACCTATGTTAAACTATGTACAGTGGTCCCTCGCTTTTCGTAGTTCTCGGCAATCGTAAATTTCGCCAATCATAGGGGTATTTTCGTATAAACATGGACTCGCTTTTCATAGGTTGACTCGCGAATAGTAGTTCGTCCAGGACGCTTACGCACGGTGTGAGCCAGGGCGGCCTCCCTACCCAGCCAGTCTAGCATTGTTTACCAGTGAGTGAAGGTCCCCTCAAGTGCTCCTACGAAATATTTCATAATATTCCACTCATTTTAGTGCTTGCAAGTACTAAAGCTACCATGGCTCCAAAGAAAGCTCCTAGTGCCAAGCCTGTGGTAAAGAAGGTGAGAAATATGTACAGTGACAAAGTCTTGGGCCATTTTAGGGAAGTGTTAAAGAGACGCCAGAAACAGAGCTCTCTCCACAGTTACTTTGCGAGACAGGACTAGAGTGACTCTCAAGGTGGTCCTAGTGGCATTAAGAAACAGAGAAGAGAAGCAACCCCAGAGAAGCAATTGGTACCTGAGGTGTTGCTGGAAGGGGATTCCCCTTCCAAACTGTAAACAATCCAATCTCTCTCCTCCTCCAGTCTCCCATACACTAAGAAGAATCTCCAATAAAGGTAAGTGTTATGCTGTTAATGTTTCATTCATCATTTCCCATTGTATTGCTTATGTACTACATGTATATTTCATGTAAAAAAAAAAATTTGTTTTAATACTTCTGAGTGTCAGAAACGGATTAATTGTATTTACATTATTTCTTATGGGGAAAATTGATTTGCAATTCGTAAATTTCGTTTATAGTAGCTCCTCCAGGAACGGATTAATTACGAAAAACGAGGGACCACTGTATGATTATTATACTATTTATGTGTAACTGGACCTAAAAATAAAACTTACTTAACAATGTTACCTAGTTACTTTGATACTTTCATTATGAATTCCATACAACTTTATGACCCTTTTGGGTTTAGTGCTTAATCTGATACTATATTATTGTCATAATTACTATTATGAACTCCATATCTTTCGTGTGCAATTTACATTACCTGGAGTTTACCTGGAGAGAGTTCCGGGGGTCAACGCCCCCACGGCCCGGTCTGTGACCAGGCCTCCTGGTGGATCAGAGCCTGATCAACCAGGCTGTTACTGCTGGCTGCACGCAAACCAACATACGAGCCACAGCCCGGCTGGTCAGGAACCGACTTTAGGTGCTTGTCCAGTGCCAGCTTGAAGACTGCCAGGGGTCTGTTGGTAATCCCCCTTATGTATGCTGGGAGGCAGTTGAACAGTCTCGGGCCCCTGACACTTATTGTATGGTCTCTTAACGTGCTAGTGACACCCCTGCTTTTCATTTGGGGGATGTTGCATCATCTGCCAAGTCTTTTGCTTTCGTAGTGAGTGATTTTCGTGTGCAAGTTCGAAAATCACTCACTACGAAAGCAAAAGACTTGGCAGACGATGCAACATCCCCCCAATGAAAAGCAGGGGTGTCACTAAACGTTAAGAGACCCTACAGGCACAGAATTAGAAGATTGGTCCTGTGCTGTATGACCCTAGTGGGTTTAGTGCTTGGTTTTGATTATAATAATAATAATAAAAATAATGGCCGATTGATCCTCTAACCCATTATGTGCATCTGTAAGACCTGGTCATGGACCAGGTCACAGGGGCATTGACCCCCGGATTACCCTCCAAGTATCACCTGTGCTTACTTCACCATATACAGTGGTCCCTCGTTTTTCATAATTAATCCGTTCCTGGAGCCGTTACTATAAACGAAATTTACGATTTGTGAATCAATTTTCCCCATAAGAAACAATGTAAATACAATTAATCCGTTCCTGACACCCAGAAGTATTAAAACAAAAAGATTTTTTACATGAAATATACATGTAGTACATAAACAATACAATGGGAAATGATGAATGAAACATAAACAACGTAACACTTACCTTTATTGGAGATTCTTCTTAGTGTACAGGAGACTGGAGGAGGAGAGAGATTGGATTGTTTACAGTTTGGAAGGGGAATCCCCTTCCAGCAACACCTCAGGTACCAATTGCTTCTCTGGGGTTGCTTCTCTTCTCTGTTTCTTAATGCCACTAGGACCACCTTGAGAGTCACTCTAGTCCTGTCTCCCAAAGTAACTGTGGAGAGAGCTCTGTTTCTGGCATCTCTTTAACACTTCCCTAAAATGGCCCAAGACTTTGTCACTGTATATATTTCTCACCTTCTTTACCACAGGCTTGGCACTAGGAGCTTTCTTTGGAGCCATGGCAGCTTATTTAATACTTGCAAGCACTAAAATGAGTGGAATATTATGAAATATTTCGTAGGAGCACTTGAGGAGACCTTCACTCACTGGTAAACAATGCCAGACTGGCTGGGTAGGGAGGCCGCCCCGGCTCACACCGTGCATACGCGTCCCGGACAAACTACTATTCTCGAGTCAACCTATGAAAAGAGAGTCCATGTTTATACGAAAATACCCCTATGATTGGCGAAATTTACGATTGCAGAGAACTACAAAAAGCGAGGGACCACTGTACCTTCCTAACCCACCCATGGATATGAGGTGTAATCAATTTTAATAATAAAAACATATGCCCTTGTATTATTCTTTTAAGTCATACCTAAAATTCCTATCTAATCACTGCCCTTTTAAGAAGGGATCACTGATGTTGATGAAGGGTTCTTAATCAGAGGAACTGGAGCTACGTTCACATTCCTTGGAATAAATATAGTTACCTCAAGAACAGAAGAGTTGACGTACAATATGAAGCCTCTTAAATGAGGCATTCACAGATTATCTCAGGAAAACCGAAATTTTAAATTTTCTCAATTTCTTCAACAAAACTGGCACCTACTCAACCCAAGATCAATATCAATTTTTTTTTTTATAAAGCTACACCAAGGTTTAGGGTCTGAATCCCAAATGTGGCCTTTTTATAATGGCTTATTCCGCACAGCTAAGTGCTTGACTCATTTTTAGTAAGATAAGATATGCAGCTGCAAGTGTAGCTTATCTTGACATGCGGAGTTTGTGACATTTTTATAAATTTCATAAAATATATCTAATCTCGCTTTGATGCTGGGAAATGGCTCATTATCAGGGAGCTGAAACTACATTAACCTCCCATCACCCCAAGCTCTGTGACCCTTATCCCCTCAAGGAAGGTTCCTTGACGCTGGTGAGGGGCTCTTGATCTAGGGAATTGGATCTGTGCTCCAGTTCCCTGAATTAAGCCTGAATACCTTCCATTCCCCCCCCCAAGAGTGCTGTATAATCCTATGGGTTTAGTGCTTCCTCATGATTATAATAATAATAATAGTGTGACCCTTATGGGTTTAGCGTTTCATAATTAATACATACGTATATTAACCCAGGGAACATTTAGGTTTGGTAAAATTCATCAGGAAACAGGACAAGTGATCTGTCTAAGTCAAATGACCTGCCACTGTAGCTTTTGGCTAAATGAAAAAGGCTTTTCCCTGGATTGCCATGTCACCCCTTTAAAAATTAAAGATTTGATGTCATTAGGAGATTAAAAAAAAGACATTTGGCTTGCACTCACCACAGGTGATGTAGATTGACTGGGTCCATGAAATGGCCTGGTGCCAGTTTATATTGAGGAAGATGGCCAAGCAACCCTGAAAGGAATACAACATATTATTATTACATTTAAGATAAAGCGTTGAAGCCATAAGGGTAATACAACGCCTTGGGAGGGGTAGGGAGAAGAGACAATATTGAAGATTTTTCTCCAAAGATGCTGATTTTGAGACCTACGTCCCTTCAAGGACTCTTGACACTGGTGAATTATTATTATTATAATCAAGGGGGAAGCGCTAAACCGGAGGATTATACAGCGCCTGGGAGGGGGGGATGTGGAAGGCATTCAGGCTTAATTCGGGGAACTGGAGCACAGATCCAATTCCCTAAATCAAGAGCCCCTCACCGACATTGGTGAAGAGCCATTCATCCAAAGAATTAGAATCACCTTTTCTTAGATCAAACATGATCACATTCTATGCCCCAGGTGATGTAAGATCACATAAAACTTACATGTGTTTCAGTCACTGTGCGATCTGAGACAGGTATCCCCTTATCTCACAAGACCAGCCCCCTCTACCTCAATGCAGCAAAATACAAGAAAAAGTGTGAAGTCGACTCAAGGAGACATTTCCAGTACTGAATAAAAATCATTATCACAATTTGTTCGTAATAAAGTTGGCAGATTGAGACTTGCAAAGCTCAATAACAATGGAGTCACACACTGACTAAATCATTATTTTTATATATTAAAAATAACGATTTACTCAATGTATTAACTCGCATTGTTATTGAGTTTTGTAAGTCTCATACTACTGCTAAAAAAATTCTAAGTAGACAAGAAGTATTTTCCAGTTTTTGCATGAAATCCTATCCTGAGTTTATTAACTGTTAAAATACTGAAAAAATTGTACTTAAACAGTTTAAACATACAGGGCATCATCCTTCTTATAATACGCATTAAGTATTAATGCTCGAACCCGATAGAGTGAGGCATGCTAAGTAAGTAAGTAAGTTTATTCAGGTATACCTGGAGTTTACCTGGAGAGAGTTTCGGAGAAAGGTGCTGTTAGTGTGCAGCAATATTCCAGCCTAGATAGAACAAGTGACCTGAAGAGTGTCATCATGGGCTTGGCCTCCCTAGTTTTGAAGGTTCTCATTATCCATCCTGTCATTTTTCTAGCAGATGCGATTGATACAATGTTATGGTCCTTGAAGGTGAGATCCTCCGACATAATCACTCCCAGGTCTTTGACGTTGGTGTTTCGCTCTATTTTGTGGCCAGAATTTGTTTTGTACTCTGATGAAGATTTAATTTCCTCATGTTTACCATATCTGAGTAATTGAAATTTCTCATCGTTGAACTTCATATTGTTTTCTGCAGCCCACTGAAAGATTTGGTTGATGTCCGCCTGGAGCCTTGCAGTGTCTGCAATGGAAGACACTGTCATGCAGATTCGGGTGTCATCTGCAAAGGAAGACACGGTGCTGTGGCTGACATCCTTGTCTATGTCGGATATGAGGATGAGGAACAAGATGGGAGCTAGTACTGTGCCTTGTGGAACAGAGCTTTTCACCGTAGCTGCCTCGGACTTTACTCTGTTGACGACTACTCTCTGTGTTCTGTTAGTGAGGAAATTATAGATCCATCGACCGACTTTTCCTGTTATTCCTTTAGCGCGCATTTTGTGCGCTATTACGCCATGGTCACACTTGTCGAAGGCTTTTGCAAAGTCTGTATATATTACATCTGCATTCTTTTTGTCTTCTAGTGCATTTAGGACCTTGTCGTAGTGATCCAGTAGTTGAGACAGACAGGAGCGACCTGTTCTAAACCCATGTTGCCCTGGGTTGTGTAACTGATGGGTTTCTAGATGGGTGGTGATCTTGCTTCTTAGGACCCTTTCAAAGATTTTTATGATATGGGATGTTAGTGCTATTGGTCTGTAGTTCTTTGCTGTTGCTTTACTGCCCCCTTTGTGGAGTGGGGCTATGTCTGTTGTTTTTAGTAACTGAGGGACGACCCCCGTGTCCATGCTCCCTCTCCATAGGATGGAAAAGGCTCTTGATAGGGGCTTCTTGCAGTTCTTGATGAACACAGAGTTCCATGAGTCTGGCCCTGGGGCAGAGTGCATGGGCATGTCATTTATCGCCTGTTCGAAGTCATTTGGCGTCAGGATAACATCGGATAGGCTTGTGTTAATCAAATTTTGTGGCTCTCTCATAAAAAATTCATTTTGATCTTCGACTCTCAGTCTGGTTAGCGGCTTGCTAAAAACTGAGTCATATTGGGACTTGAGTAGCTCACTCATTTCCTTGCTGTCATCTGTGTAGGACCCATCTTGTTTAAGTAGGGGCCCAATACTGGGCGTTGTTCTCGATTTTGATTTGGCATAGGAGAAGAAATACTTTGGGTTTCTTTCGATTTCATTTATAGCTTTTAGTTCTTCCCGCGATTCCTGACTCCTAAAGGATTCTTTTAGCTTAAGTTCGATGCTTGCTATTTCTCTGACCAGTGTCTCCCTGCGCATTTCAGATATATTGACCTCTTTTAGCCGCTCTGTTATTCTTTTCCGTCGCCTGTAAAGGGAGCGCCTGTCTCTTTCTATTTTACATCTACTCCTCCTTTTTCTTAGAGGAATAAGCCTTGTGCATACATCGAGTGCCACCGAGTTAATCTGTTCTAGGCATAAGTTTGGGTCTGTGTTGCTTAGTATATCTTCCCAGCTTATATCGGTTAGGACTTGGTTTACTTGGTCCCACTTGTGGTATACACAAATACAGTTACATAGAATTATCATACATAGCAGCATATGTGTAGAGAACCTAGGATAACCCAAAAAAGTCAGACAGTGACTTATTTCCATTGGGGTCCTTTCCATATTTTAAAAAAAAAAATAAAAAAAATATCACATTTAAAACACGAGGTTAATGATCAAGTACACAAATCGACTTAATGTTAAGAAGCTACACTCACGATCTAAATACTCGTTTTTATACATGCAAAGATAAAACGATTAGATAAGTGACTACAATATTTCTCCGTGCTCAAAACCCTGACATGCTGAGTGCCATATAACTGAGAAGAAAATACGGAGATTAAGACCTATGTGTGTGGGTCCTAGCAGCAAAGTGAAATAACAAGGCTTGTTCACACATTTACTTACATGTGTGCATCCCGTCAGTAGAGAGAGAAGGCCCAGCTGCTTCCTAGACTTGAGCCACGTGTCCAGCCAGCCAGGAAACCGGGAGTACTTGGTGCCTCTCCACAACTGGAGATATGCAGCAATCATCCCTGTCAGACATAAATTATCAGTTTTGTTCTTTAATGTGTGTGCGCGCATGCTCGTGTGGGTATATGACCCACTTAATATTTGTATTTATAACTCATTACAATTGTGACCAGGTGTGGCTCATTACTTTGTAATTTGTTCATGACTGTAACCATGTATAGGAGTGAGGCTGATTCATTACCTTTGTAACTTGTCATGATTGTGACCAGATCTACCTGGAGTTCATTACCTTTGTAACTAGTTCAGCTATCATACTTTGGGGTCCAGTCCCTGGACCCATTATGTACCTCTGTAATATTTTGACTACCACCCACAGGATGGGTATGGGGTGCATAATAAAGATATTAAACTAAACTGTTCTTTCTATCTAGTTGGTTAGTTTTCTCACTATATTTATTTACCAGCTTAGCTCTCTGCTACAGTGGACCTCTCTGAATTATATTTTTCATATCACTACTTCAGAGATCAGGCACTGTACTTTCCACCTCCTGAACTAATGTCCAGCAAACCGATTTCTTTCAATTCCTTCATAAATATTACCTTGTTCATATACCAACATATCCCTCATATCCCACTTTCTCTTTAATAGTTAAATACTTTCACTTCCTCAGATCTATTCTTGAATCTGACATTAGAATATATTCAGGTGATCCGATTACGAAAGGTCACTGGCACCGTTCTTTGGATTAATGGAATACTGTGGAGCAAGAATACGTCAATACCAAAAAAAATGAGGTAAAGTAAACTCTAGGGGGATATACACTGAGATATATACACCTCTCAGTGTAGTGTAGAAGCCATGTTATGTAGCGGAGAAAGCAAACAAGGGGAAAGCAGGAATCACCAGGAATGTAGCAGAGTAGCAGCAGGAGACAACCAGTAAAGGCCAGGGCGTTCTGGGTGTTGCTCAGAGGCAGTTTTTCGAAGACGCCCCAGTCCCAGTCCCCATCTTTCTGCAGGTTGTAGCAGATCTGCGACCTGTTGAAGTACCTGACAGTTGTGGTATAAACCTTGGTAATAAATACTGACAAACTGGGTTTAGAAAGACAGGTGAGCAAACACTATGACATATTTATTAGAAAACGTTTCGGTCCTGAGAAGTGATCAGTCCCAGGACCAAAAAGTTTTCCAATAAATATGCCATAGTGTTTGCTCACAAGTCTTTCTAAACCTAATAGCTTTATATGTTACTTTCCTCTTCCACAAGAGCCTCTCAAACTGCAGCTCCCAAAGCTCTTCTTGTCTGTATTACAGCCTCCCTAATTTCTGTATCTTGCATGCTCCCCAAGCCCTAAATCTCAATCTTCCAGACTCCTTGGGCTTTTCCTCTCTACCGTAATAGTCTTCCTAGGCTCTTCCCTCTATCTTACAACTACTTCCCTTTATCTTTTGGCTTCTTCCCTCTATCTTAAAGCTTCTTCCCTCTATTTTGTAGCCTCTTCACTGTCTCGTAGCCTCCTCTTTCTCTTATCCAAAATGCTATGTGGACTATAGGCCTCAGATTATCGTGCATTGTAGATGAATTGAAATTATTATTATTATTATTATTATTATTATTATTATTATTCCCCAGGATCCTCCCTCTATCTTACAGGCTTGATCCGCCGTATCAATACGTGTACCTAAAAAACTTGATGGTCCAGAAGAAAGCGAAGATGATACCCGTGACAATGAACGCCACCTTCCACTCCGGGAAGAATTGGAAGGGTATTTCCTCAAGGGTCCTGGCATTCTTCAGTCCTCCCTTGTCCACGGGTACCATGCCCATGTCCCTTACCAGAGCCATCACCCGTGCCCGGGCAAATGTTGTGCCCCCACATACTGGTACCTGCAACATTACCAGACTAAGGATTATTGTGACATGGCACTATTACACTGCTGACTCATACAAGTTGTCACTATCACAGTGCTGAATCATACAAGTAATCACTGTCACAGTAATGAATCATACAAGTTATAACTGTCACAGTACTGAGTCATACAAGTTATCACTGTCACAGTACCTAATCATACAAGTTATCACTGTCACAGTACCTAATCATACAAGTTATCACTGTCACAGTACCTAATCATACAAGTTATCACTGTCACAGTACCTAATCATACAAGTTATCACTGTCACAGTACCTAATCATACAAGTTATCACTGTCACAGTACCTAATCATACAAGTTATCACTGTCACAGTACCTAATCATACAAGTTATCAGTCACAGTACTGAATCATACAAGATGTCACTATCACAGTATTAAATCATACAAGTTATCACTGTAACAATGCTGAATCATACAAGTTATCAGTCATACACTTTCACTGCATTCACTGAGGAGCGCTATACCTGTAGGGGTCCAACAGCCCCTGGGGGGAATGGGAAGCAATCAGGTTTGATCCATGGAAGGGGAAGTCTGACCCAATTCTCCGGATCAAGAGCCTCTTACTAGCATCAAGGAACCTCCCTTGAGGGATGCTAGTAACTCTTTAAATCTCTCGTGGGTATCCCTCACTTCTCATACTGGTATCCCTCACCCCATTGGTATACCTCCCCGATTGGTATCCCTCAATTCCCCCAATGGCATCCCTCGCCTCACTGGTACCCCTCATATCCCCATTGGTATCCCTCACCTCCCCCATTGGTATCCCTCACCTCCCCATTGGTATTCCCTCACCTCCCCATTGGTATCCATCACTGGTATAGTACCTCTTCCCCTTAGCATCCCTCCCCTCCATCGCTGGTATACCTCACTTCCCTCATTAGTGTTCCTCCCCTTCATCATTGATATACCTTACCCCCCTAACGCTATACCTCCAATTCCATTTTACCTGGAGTTTACCTGGAGAGAGTTCCGGGGGTCAACGCCCCCGCGGCCCGGTCTGTGACCAGGCCTCCTGGTGGATCAGAACCTGATCAACCAGGCTGTTACTGCTGGCTGCACGCAATCCAACGTACGAGCCACAGCCCGGCTGGTCAGGTACCGACTTTAGGTGCTTGTCCAGTGCCAACTTGAAGACTGCCAGGGGTCTATTGGTAATCCCCCTTTTGTATGCTGAGAGGCAGTTGAACAGTCTCGGGCCCCTAACACTTATTGTATTGTCTCTTAACGTGCTAGTGACACCCCTGCTTTTCATTGGGGGGATGTTGCATCGTCTGCCAAGTCTTTTGCTTTCGTTGTGATTTTCGTGTGCAAGTTCGGTACTAGTCCCTCTAGGATTTTCCAGGTGTATATAATCATGTATCTCTCCCGCCTGCGTTCCAGGGAATACAGGTTCAGGAACTTTAAGCGCTCCCAGTAATTGAGGTGTTTTATCTCCGTTATGCGCGCTGTGAAGGTTCTCTGTACATTTTCTAGGTCAGCAATTTCACCTGCCTCTCACCTCCTCTCACCTCCCAACTGGTATCCCTCACCTCCACCACTGGTATGCCTCATCTCACCAACCGATATCCCTCGCCTCCATCATTGGTATTCCCATTCCCATTAGTATCCCTCACCTCGATTGGTATTCCTCGCTGGTATTGCTGATCTCCCTCGCCTCCCTCAGTGGTTTTTTCATTTCTTTCATTTCTGGTATCCCTCAACTCTCACTCTCATCTCTGATATACCTAAAAATATCCTCATTGGTATCCCACCACTTCTCTCACTGGTATCCCTCGCCTCTGTCCCTCAATGGTATATTTCTCCTCCCTCATTAGTATCCTTCGCTTCCTTTCACTTTCTTCACTGGTATCCCTCGCTTCTCATTTTCATCAATGGTATCCCTCGTCTCCCTCATTGGTACATTTCTCATCAGTATCCCTCGTTTCCCCCTCTACTGGTATCCCTCACATCTCTCATCTGTATATTTCTCCTCTCTCATTAGTATCCCTCGCTTTCCCTCTCTTCACTTGTATCCTTCACCTCCCTCATTGGTATCCTTCACCTAACTCAATGGTATCCTTCACCTCCCTCACCAATATCCATAACCTCCCTCACTGGTATCCTTCACATTCCTCAATGGTATCCCTCACAGGTATCCATCACTGGTATCCTTCACTTCCCTCACAGGTATCCATCACTGGTATCCTTCACCTCCCTCACTGGTATCCTTCACCTCCCTCACAGGTATCCGTCACTTATATCTTTCACCTCCCTCACAGGTATCCATCACTGGTATCCTTCACCTCCCTCACAGGTATCCACTGGTATCCTTCACCTCCCTCACAGGTATCCTTCACCTCCCTCACTGGTATCCCTCACCTCCCTACCACAGTACAGTTCTTCCCTCTCCAGGACGTAGGCTGAGAGCGTGTTGAAAGCCTTCACCACCTGAGCCTCCGGCAGCATCTCCTGCAGCGCCTCTGCCAGGCTCACCTTCTGGGTCTCCCCTGGGTACCTGTTGGTAAGATACATCCAACACCATGGATCAAGAACCCTTCGTTGATATCAATATCCTCCTCTCCCCCATGCAGGATGTCCAGGACTGAAGGGAAAAGATGGGACAATTATCTTAATTACATCTATAGGTTAGTTTTTAATGGAGTTTGAAGCCTATCGACTACACGAAGGTCATTAACGTCACATGTTACCTTTTCACCACCAGACAAGAATATTTTAATCCCTAAAATTGGGATTAAAGAAAACTCTCAGTGCATATACACTAAGAGAAATATACCTCTCAGTGGTATATACAGAGAAATATACCTCTCAGTGGTATATACAGAGAAATATACCTCTCAGTGGTATATACAGAGAAATATACCTCTCAGTAGTATATACAGAGAAATACACCTCTCAGTGGTATATACAGAGAAATACACCACTCAGTGGTATATACAGAGAAATACACCACTCAGTGGTATATACAGAGAAATACACCACTCAGTGGTATATACAGAGAAATACACCACTCAGTAGTATATACAGAGAAATACACCACTCAGTGGTATATACAGAGAAATACACCTATCAGTAGTATATACAGAGAAATACACCACTCAGTGGTATATACAGAGAAATACACCACTCAGTGGTATATACAGAGAAATACACCACTCAGTAGTATATACAGAGAAATACACCACTCAGTGGTATATACAGAGAAATACACCACTCAGTGGTATATACAGAGAAATACACCACTCAGTGGTATATACAGAGAAATACACCACTCAGTGGTATATACAGAGAAATACACCACTCAGTGGTATATACAGAGAAATACACCACTCAGTAGTATATACAGAGAAATACACCACTCAGTGGTATATACAGAGAAATACACCACTCAGTGGTATATACAGAGAAATACACCACTCAGTGGTATATACAGAGAAATACACCACTCAGTGGTATATACAGAGAAATACACCACTCAGTGGTATATACAGAGAAATACACCACTCAGTAGTATATACAGAGAAATACACCACTCAGTGGTATATACAGAGAAATACACCTCTCAGTAGTATATACAGAGAAATACACCTCTCAGTGGTATATACAGAGAAATACATCACTCAGTGGTATATACAGAGAAATACACCTCTCAGTGGTATATACAGAGAAATACACCACTCAGTAGTATATACAGAGAAATACACCACTCAGTGGTATATAAGGAGAAATACACCTCTCAGTAGTATATACAGAGAAATACACCACTCAGTGGTATATACAGAGAAATACACCTCTCAGTAGTATATACAGAGAAATACACCACTCAGTGGTATATACAGAGAAATACACCACTCAGTGGTATATACAGAGAAATACACCACTCAGTGGTATATACAGAGAAATACACCTCTCAGTAGTATATACAGAGAAATACACCACTCAGTGGTATATACAGAGAAATACACCACTCAGTGGTATATACAGAGAAATACACCTCTCAGTAGCATATACAGAGAAATACACCACTCAGTGGTATATACGTCTAAAGGTCTAATCTTGTCACTGGTATATCTCGTGATATTCATGCGAAGCAGCAAATCTGTGAAATTCCTTCAGCGTAAGGATTGCTGGAAGTTCGATCCTCCGTTCATTCATTAAGGCCTCGTCTCTGACCCGCCAGGACGATGAGATTTTATATAAATTTATACTCCTTGATATTTTGCATATCTTTTCACTTTTTGATGGTAGGTATAATGTTTGTCAAGAAACAGAACAAGCGTTTCCTGACGCGGGTCTTAGTCACATAATGACCCGCAGCTGGAGCTTTTGGTCATCTGACTAAGGCCTTCCGCTGGTTTACCAGCCCACCTCTTTCAGAATCATGGTTATGATTATAACTATTAGAATTCACATAACATATTGATGCTCTCAAAAACGTTTTAATAAGGATTTTTTTCTTCAAAAAATAAGGTATATATGGATAAAAAGGACTAGTATGGAGTAAAGATATCTAGTATACCTTAATATTTGTTAATAATAATAATAAAAATAATAATAATAATAATAATAATAATAATTATTATTATTATTAATATTATTATTTCTATAAGTACATGATGCAACTTATACAGACCACAGCTGACAACAATGACATACTAGATTGAAAGCTCCTTATTCTGCAAAGCATTTTAGGCAACTTAGGTTGAAGTGTCAGAAGGAATTTAAAAAAAATGCATGATTACTGGGGCAACCAGCCGAAAGTGTATATAAATACACTAATAGGTTTAATATCATTATTATGCACCCCATACCCATCCTGTGGGGCGGTAGTCAAGGGATTACAGAGGTACATAATGGGTCCAGGGACTGGACCCCAAAATTTTGTTAGCTGAACGAGGTACAAAGGTAATAAACTGCAGGTAGATCTGGTCACAATCATGAACAAGTTATAAAGGTAATGAACCATCTACTTTCCTATACATGGTTACAATCATGAACAAATTATGAAGTAATGAGCCATTCACATGTCCACACCAGGTCACAACTGTAATGAGTTATTAGTGCAACTATTAACTGGGTCACACACACACACACACACACACACACACACACACACACACACACACACACACACACACACACACACACACACACACACACAATACAGAATAAGCTTTAATTTTCCATTATATTTCGTTTAGAAATGAGCTTTTTTACCCTTAAGTGTTAATAAAGCTCACTCTTGAACGAAATGTAAGGCATTGGTCAAGGGCCCCTATGGAAATTAAGTCACTCGGACTCTCTGCATATATGCTGCTATGTATGATAATTTATGTAGAAAATTGCATTTATCTGAATGTATCATTATATACACAACAGTAAATGAACATAGATAATTATTATTTATCAGTTAGACAAGTAGGAATTTGGGACACCTAGGTCGCAAAAAATGTCCCCCTTCGATACCTACCACTGTCATATCCACAAGTTGCTCTGGACATATTAATTAAATGAAATATACATCACTAGGAATGCTGGTAAATATATAAATTTGTGGACTGTATATTAAAATTAAAAAAGGATTATAGTATATACACACATTTATATAACAGAAGGAGAATATATCTTAATCATAACACTCACCAATTTAACTGGAGATTAAGTTGTATCATACTCAGAAAACCTCACTGTCTATACATGAAAATAACAACTGGCCAGAGTTATAACATAACAGACTTATCTGAGGTTCCTGGAGCTGTCTTGTCCAGTCGCCTGATATCTCAAGTTATGCAAGACTGCACATCCATCAATTTCGCCTCCTATCTGAGAGGTGTCAGCCCAATTTTAACTTCTAGAGCACGAAAAATTCTTCCCATTACACTAACGTTTACGTGGCTCATTCAAACCAAAATGGCGAGTCTCCTGCCCAGACGCAGGCTTTCCGTTTTCTATGACAAATATTATCAAATATAGTATAAGCCATCTATTTACCTATAAACTACCGTATTTCCGGAAAATATATACAGCATTTTCCACAATTTATGTAACTGTGTATACCTGAATAAACTTACACATAAATACAATTATCATACATAGTGTAAATTACCTAGGATAACCCCCCAATAAAGTCAAAGTGACTTATTTCCATTGGTGGTCCTGCTTATATATCTATAAAGTAAATTAAAAGCAACGTTTAGCACTGTTGCATGCTGTACAGCTCTTGTGGCTTAGCGCTTCTTTTTGATAATAATAATAATAATAATAATAATAATAATAATAATAATAATAATAATAATAATAATAATAATAATAATAATAATAATAATAATAATAATAATCACTGTTGCAGTATTGCTCACCTGTTGCTTATGTCAACGATGATTTTGTTGGTAAAGAGGTGCTTGGGAAGAGTGTGGTGGTGGATGGCAGGGATGGCCACTACCACCAGGTCTCCTTGAGCGAGTCCCTCCTCCAGGGTGCACACCTCCACCTCCTGGCTCATCCACGTCCTGCCTCATAGTGCATTATTATTCTAGATTCGCCGGTACTGTCCCGGCTCGGGTCTTTTCCAGACGGTGACCCGGCCACGCAGTGACCCGGCCACGCAGTGACCCGGCCACGCAGTGACCCGACCACACAGTGACCCGGCCACACAGTACACAGAACATTACTATATAAGCCTCCTGAGAACTGAGACCAGGCCTCTGGTTGCTAGGCTAAACGAACTTAATTTAAAGCCTACTGGACATTCAAAGTTTGTTTAATACCAATTAAGAATACTTTAATGCCTAAAATAGGGATTAAAGTAAACTCTCCGTATATATATATATATATATATATATATATATACATATATATATATATATATATATATATATATATATATATATATATATATATATATATATTATATATATATTTATATTTTATATATATATATATATATATACCTGGAGTTTACCTGGAGAGAGTTCCGGGGGTCAACGCCCCCGCGGCCGGTCTGAGACCAGGCCTCCTGGTGGATCAGAGCCTGATCAACCAGGCTGTTGCTGCTGGCTGCACGCAAACCAACATACGAGCCACAGCCCGGCTGATCCGGAACTGACTTTAGGTGCTTGTCCATGCCAGCTTGAAGACTGCCAGGGGTCTGTTGGTAATCCCCCTTATGTGTGCTGGGAGGCAGTTGAACAGTCTCGGGCCCCTGACACTTATTGTATGGTCTCTTAACGTGCTAGTGACACCCCTGCTTTTCATTGGGGGGATGGTGCATCGTCTGCCAAGTCTTTTGCTTTCGTAATGAGTGATTTTCGTGTGCAAGTTCGGTACTAGTCCCTCTAGGATTTTCCAGGTGTATATAATCATGTATCTCTCCCTCCTGCGTTCCAGGGAATACAGGTTTAGGAACCTCAAGCGCTCCCAGTAATTGAGGTGTTTTATCTCCGTTATGCGCGCCGTGAAAGTTCTCTGTACATTTTCTAGGTCGGCAATTTCACCTGCCTTGAAAGGTGCTGTTAGTGTGCAGCAATATTCCAGCCTAGATAGAACAAGTGACCTGAAGAGTGTCCATCATGGGCTTGGCCTCCCTAGTTTTGAAGGTTCTCATTATCCATCCTGTCATTTTCTAGCAGATGCGATTGATACAATGTTATGGTCCTTGAAGGTGAGATCCTCCGACATGATCACTCCAGGTCTTTGACGTTGGTGTTTCGCTCTATTTTGTGGCCAGAATTTGTTTTGTACTCTGATGAAGATTTAATTTCCTCATGTTTACCATATCTGAGTAATTGAAATTTCTCATCGTTGAACTTCATATTGTTTTCTGCAGCCCACTGAAAGATTTGGTTGATGTCTGCCTGGAGCTTTGCAGTGTCTGCAATGGAAGACACTGTCATGCAGATTCGGGGTGTCATCTGCAAAGGAAGACACGGTTGCTGTGGCTGACATCCTTGTCTATGTCGGATATAAGGATGAGGAAACAAGATGGGAGCGAGTTACTGTGCCTTGTGGAACAGAGCTTTTCACCGTAGCTGCCTCGGACTTTACTCTGTTGACGACTACTCTCTGTGTTCTGTTAGTGAGGAAAATTATAGATCCATCGACCGATTTTTCCTGTTATTCCTTTAGCACGCATTTTGTGCGCTATTACGCCATGGTCACACTTGTCGAAGGCTTTTGCAAAGTCTGTATATATTACATCTGCATTCTTTTTGTCTTCTAGTGCATTTAGGACCTTGTCGTAGTGGTCCAATAGTTGAGACAGACAGGAGCGACCTGTTCTAAACCCATGTTGCCCTGGGTTGTGTAACTGATGGGTTTCTAGATGCGTGGTGATCTTGCTTCTTAGGACCCTTTCAAAGATTTTTATATGGGATGTTAGTGCTATTGGTCTGTAGTTCTTTGCTGTTGCTTTACTGCCCCCTTTGTGGAGTGGGGCTATGTCTGTTGTTTTTTTTAGTAACTGTGGGACGACCCCCGTGTCCATGCTCCCTCTCCATAGGATGGAAAAGGCTCGTGATAGGGGCTTCTTGCAGTTCTTGATGAACACAGAGTTCCATGAGTCTGGCCCTGGGGCAGAGTGCATGGGCACGTCATTTATCGCCTGTTCGAAGTCATTTGGCGTAAGGATAACATCGGATAGGCTTGTGTTAATCAAATTTTGTGGCTCTCTCATAAAAAAATCATTTTGATCTTCGACTCTCAGTCTGGTTAGCGGCTTGCTAAAAACTGAGTCATATTGGGACTTGAGTAGCTCACTCATTTCCTTGCTGTCATCTGTGTAGGACCCATCTTGTTTAAGTAGGGGCCCAATACTGGACGTTGTTCTCGATTTTGATTTGGCATAGGAGAAGAAATACTTTGGGTTTCTTTCGATTTCATTTATGGCTTTTAGTTCTTCCCGCGATTCCTGACTCCTAAAGGATTCTTTTAGCTTAAGTTCGATGCTTGCTATTTCTCTGACCAGTGTCTCTCTACGCATTTCAGATATATTGACCTCTTTTAGCCGCTCTGTTATTCTTTTCCGTCGCCTGTAAGGGAGCGCCTGTCTCTTTCGTTTTACATCTACTCCTCCTTTTTCTTAGAGGAATAAGCCTTGTGCATACATCGAGTGCCACCGAGTTAATCTGTTTTTAGGCATAAGTTGGGGTCTGTGTTGCTTAGTATATCTTCCCAGCTTATATCGGTTAGGACTTGGTTTACTTGGTCCCACTTTATGTTTTTGTTATTGAAGTTGAATTTGGTGAATGCTCCCTCGGGGACTAATCTCATTATGTCGGTCGGGGGCTCCGCGCATACATGACTGAACCTCAATTATGTTGTGATCTGAGTATATTGTTTTTGATATGGTGATATTTCTTATCAGATCATCATTGTTAGTGAAGATGAGGTCTAGTGTATTCCCCAGTCTAGTAGGCTCTATTATTTGCTGGTTTAAATTGAATTTTGTGCAGAGATTTAAAAGCTCGCGTGAGTGTGAGTTTTCATCAGAGCTGCCTCCCGGTGTTATTACTGCAACAACATTATTTGCTATATTCCTCCATTTTAGGTGCCTTAAGTTGAAAATCCCCAGGAGCAAGATGTTGGGTGCAGGAGCTGGAAGGTTTTCCAGACAGTGGTCAATTTTTAACAGCTGTTCCTGGAATTGCTGGGATGTTGCATCCGGAGGCTTGTAGACTATCACAATGACTAGGTTTGGTTCACGACCTTTACTGCTAAAACTTCCACTAATCATTTGAGGCATTTAGCAGTTCTGTGCAAACAAGTGACTCTGCAATGTACAGGCCAACCCCCCCCCTTTTGCCTGTTCACTCTGTCACATCTGTATAGGTTGTAACCCGGGATCCATATTTCGTGTCCCAAATGATCCTTTATGTGGGTCTCAGTGAAACCACGAACATTGCCTTTGCCTCTGCAAGCAGTCCACGGATGAAAGGTATTTTGTTGTTTGTTGCTGGCTTTAGACCCTGTATATTTGCAAAGAAGAATGTTATCGGACTGGTGGTATTGTTGGTACTGGGGGGGATTTTTTTTCCGGCATTAGTATCTATATCTGTTGGTTTGGAGTGGAGGCCATCGACTGTGGTTCCACTCCAGGAATGACTGGATTTGGTGTACGATTTCTGCCATTTCTGCCAGTTTTTTTTCCTTCCTGGCACTAAAAAACCTCTCCCTCTTGAGTGGCTGTGGCTACCCAGGTTTTCCATGGCCTGGATGTTTTGTATCTTTTTGTCCCCTTTAGATGGTATGCCTGGCAATTTAAGTTATAGCACAGTCTTTCCTGTACTGAAGAGGTACACAGTTCAGGGTGAAAAAGCTTACAGGAAGGGAGTTTGCATTTTCCTGTTGTCATATGGGCATGGCATTTCCTAGGGTGGTCATAGTTGCACGTCCCATCTGTTTTTCCAGATTTCCCATGCCAGCAGATACCGAGTGCATAGTATGTGCACAGGCTTGGTTTCCGTTTGCCTTGGGTTTCTGTGACTGTATTCCGTTGGTGCATGTTTCCCTGTCTTACTTCTATCCTCCCTAGCACCAACAATGGAGCTCCCACCATTTGTTTTTGGTAATATATCCTCACTATTGCTAGTGGAGTCCTCTTGTTTGCTATTTCCTGCGGTTATTTCTAGTTTGCAATATTGGTTTTATCTTATCTTTGACTACACTTGTTTCCCTACTTGGCCCCCGCCCCCTATGGGGTCATTTATATTGTATTCCTTCTGCGTATAATTCCCGACTACCTGGACAAATCTCCAGCTTCCCCATTACTGTCTCCCAGGACAGCATCTCCAGTTTCCCCCCATTACTTTTCTCCCAGGACAGCATCTCCAGCTTCACCATTACTGTCTCCCAGGACAGCACCTCCAGCTTCACCATTACTGTCTCCCAGGACAGCACCTCCAGCTTCCCATTACTGTCTCCAGGACGCACTATCAGCCCCCCATTTCTGACTACCAGGACATCATCTCCAGCCTTACGGGTTTCTGACTACATGGCCAGTATCAAGGGCAAGTACCATTCAGCCCGGACTTTTTATGTTCCATCTGTTGTAGAAAGTTTCCATGTTTTCTATGAAAGCAGCTTGATGTTGACCTTTTTTAAAACCCCTTGTGATTTTAGTCCACAGATTTATCTCATTTGGGCATCCCCAAAAAAACACTTCCCTGTTTTAATACTGCTTGTAGCTAGTTCTTGGTTTATCTGCACAAGGGGCGTGACACCAATTTCCACAGAAATGACAATTTTATGCTTTGTGGAAGCCCGTTTGTTTGAGTGACCACAGACTACACACAGCTTCATAATGATTTGAATGGTTGATTTACTGAATTCTACTAGCAACCTCTTGAATATTCTATTAATAACCTAGAATCTAGAATAATATATATATATATATATATAATATATATATAATATATTATATATATATATATATATATATAATATATTATATATATATATAATATATTATATATAATTATATATTTTTTTTTTTTTTCAACAAGTCGGCCGTCTC